TAAAGTTTTTAATTGTTTTTGTTGATGTCGCTGTTACCGCTGTTATATATACAAAAAATTGTACTATTCTTTACCATATGTCAGTACTGTTCTCTTGTAAAAATAATTTTTCAGATATGATTGAGAGCGGTTAAAATGTACTTCCGTACGATGTAGAAAGATCAAATTTCCGCCTAGTAAAACGTGGGAAAATTGAACATAACATAGTGTCATGCTTAAATGTTATTGAGAGAGGAGAGATGGGAATGTAACTATTTTAAATGAAGTAATTCGTATTTGCCGAAGTTTTTAGTCGTTTTGCATCTAATATCCAATTTTCTGAATAAGAAAGTCTAAAAAAACTTTCGTTAAATACCCTTTAATTTTTCAAAAATGAGTTCCAATCATGGGTAGATATTGAATGTCGGATTTTGACTTAGTCTTTGCTAGTTGTTGTAACTTTAATTCTTTTTGTATCAGTAAAATAGAATAGGAGAGATATATAACTGAAGTTGTACTCATAAGTGAATCGAAGGATAAAAAAATGATTCGCCGTCTGCGACTCACCTTTTCCAAAAGTGAAGTTAGTCAACAATGCAGTCCAGGTTTTCTGTTTCTACCACGCGCGTATGACACAAGTTTTAAGTTGATCGCTAGCTCCAAGCAATGGATTAAGCTTCCCAAATCGTCCTGTCGTTATGAATGAAACCTTATTATGAAAATAAATTTTAAAAAAATGCTTGCAACTGTCAGTTCCATGTGGAAATTAATGCAAATGACGCAAATGGTCAAAGTTCAGCGAAAATGGTTTTGAGACTCACACAAACATAGATAAAGAGGAAAATTTTGCACTACGTACTCCTTAGCTCGATGAATTTTATTAAATTGATTACAGTGTGTATATAGTTAATCTATGTTAATGAGACTGGAAAGAAATATGTTTTCTTTCTGTCATCCATAATTTTCTGAAACGTGTTGATTTTCCTTGTATGATTCTTTATCTTATTTTCTACAATCAGTTTATAAAATAATATAAAGATAAAATAATAAAGATTTGAACGGCTGCCCATGCACTAGAAGTGATTATCAACATTGTCTGTGTGCGTACAGCGTTTAAGAGAGTGTCTCTGTAAGAGCGGTCCGGTCGATTTTGCTTGAGACACGGATTTCGCTCATTTCTTGTGTGTTGTAAGACATTCATGTACCTATACTAAAACCACAATCCGTTTGATCGGATCTCTTTATTTTTCAGGGTTTTACGGAAATTAAATTTCACTCGAGCGAAGGCTTGTCGTGACACTTTTCAAGACTTTAAATTGAGACAACTTTGGAGGACAATTTACAAAAAACTACGGAACTCAGCAAAAAACAAATACCACAGCCATGTATATTAACTCTATCTTATCTATCGAGGTGACTTTCGTGAACATCACGTTTCAATCAAGCAAACAGGAAGACTTGAATGACACCTTATCGGTTCGCTTAAGTCACACATGCCAAAACCGATCAAATTCAAGGTAAATTTTTAAAAAAGTGAGGCGTTCTTAACTGACCCAACTAACATAGCTAGGAAGTAGGTGCCATAGAAAAGGTAACTTCGATCGAGAAAATTATCGGAGTGACAATTTTGCTGCACTGTGGGAGTGGGTAGTGTAAATATGCACTAGAAAAATCAATCTCCATCGGTGTACCCAGGGGTAGACTTAACCCTCGTTTAGCGCATCGAGCCAAAGGTTCGCAAATTCAAAAATAATTAAATTTATCCCTGTTGCAGTGACTCATTTAAACCACCTCTCTCTATATGTAAGTCAAAGTCGCCTAGTTTTTACCAGTCAGTTTTCTCAACGTCCAAATATATTTTTGGTCTTACTACTGGTGTTAAATACAATCGAAAGTGACGGTTTTCTGTGGAGAGCCTCGAGGCGATTAAAAACCTTGTTTCTGGCGCACAGCTGTTTTCAAACGAGGCGCTCATCATTTTTAGAACCAGCATTTTTACCTAACACGAGGATCCTTCTTTGCAAAGGCGCCGAATTCGTGTAACTATGTTGATGATACAAGATATACTGATCAAAGCAATGATTTCCTAGTTTTTGCGAGAGCATGTATTTGAGTTATTTTCGTTTTCAGTCAAACGCGTGGCAAGATGAGGGTGTGATATTTTTTCTCTCAGTCTCACAATGAAGAAGGTGCGAGTTTTTTTTATTTATCTTTTGCAAAAAAAGGAGGTCCTGCTTAAAAGTAAGTCTCTCTCATTAAAAACTATCAGATTTTTACAGCAGATTTTAACAATCTTTGTTAAAAGTAAGGAGCTGTCAACAGCTTCTCCAAATTTTCGTAGAGGGCAGGCGCTGGCGCACAGCTGTTTTCTAACGAAGCGCTTACTTTCTGGAACCAACAAGTCTACCTAAGAAGAGGATTCCTGTTTTGCAAAAGCACAGAATTCTTGCAACGATGTTGATGACACAAGATGTACTGATCGAGGAAATTATCTCTAGTTTTTGAGAGGACATCTATTTTGAGTTATTCTCGTTTTCAGTCAAACGCGCGGCAAGACGAGAGTGTGATATTTTACTCACAAGTCTCACAATGGAGAAGTTACGAATTTTTTGTTTTTCGTTTGTTCTATAACGCTCTGACGAAGGGCTAACGCTCGAAACGTCAGCTTTTTTACCCTTTACGGTGGCTAATTTACGTTTTCAACCCAGTTGTTAACACTAAATTACCCGCTATACTCTCCTACCTACGCAGCACCACAGTTTCTTTAGAAACTCACCCCTTTATTCATGCATTTACTTGGTTTGAAATAATCGACGATTTTTCCAATTTGCATTGTTTATATTTTGATAGACTTAATGGAACAAATACCTTCAGCTTGTTTTAATTCAAGCATCAGTTTATTATAGAATCGGCTTTTCCTATTCCCTTTCACATGAAACTTGATAGAATCCTTCAGAATCACAATATTTTCTTGTATGAAAGAAAAGATGACGAGCAACAAAATTCTCGTTTTAAAAAGGAAAAAATACTTATTTCCGTGCATATAAATACATGACTACCTGTGTTGATAAGATTATGTATTCTTAGCTATGTTTTTTTAGCTTTTATTAAAGTTTGCCTTCATGTAGAACTGACATTGTGTTTTGATCAATATTCTGTTAAGTCCTAGAAAACATAGCATATCGGTGTTCGCGATAAAAAAACCTGAGCGCACTTTTTAATCTAGAGCCGAAGATGTTGGTAAATGTAAACAAACAATTAACTTGGAACTAATAAAAGGAGAAAGTTTGAACAGTGTTATATAGCGCAGCAAGGTTCTTACGCAGTCTGGAGGGCAAATGCGAGAAAAAAAGTTGATCAGAGAATGAGCTGCATAAATCTTTTTGTCAAGAATGTCGCTAATGTCTAGAAGAGTTCAACCTCCATATAACGACCCCAAACTTCAATTCCAGTATAACATATGTGAGCAGGGCTGAGCTTTGCAGAGGACGGCCGGAAGATGTATGAAAATAGAAGCCACACGTCAGAAAGAGCTAACAGATATAAATGATGCATGCATTTTGACAGGTGTAAAACATTCAAATATTATCGTTTTCTACCTGCACGTTTTTGCAATTTATATACAAAAGAAGGAAAAACTGAAAACAACGTCTACCCAAATTTTTTTAGGATCATATTGCAAATAATACTGCTAAATATACGCGTGTTGTTGTGGTGTCATTAAAACTGTTTCCTCTCCCTAATTTTCGTTGAAGAGTTCTTTTAGGTTAACAAGGTGATGAAAAATAACAGCAATAATAGCAACGATTCTATTGTTTTCTTTTGCTACAGGGAAGACTTCATACACTTAACTACCTGAGATATTTAATTCTAAAAATTCTCGGCTGATTTTTGTTTTTATTTGACAACAGCTTAGACTGCTGTAAATATCTGCGAAGACACCGAGTGAGTGCTGTTGATTGCGTTGATAGAGACCAATTGGTTATTAGAGCGGAAGTTATAACAATTTTTCATTTCTTTAAGGGAGCTTTGCAAACGACATTCATTAATCAGTATTTATAGAAAGTGCGATCGGTCACCTCAGTCATTAGCGGTTTAAACAGATGATTTGAAAGTTCAGCAAGTGCATGGCGCTAAACAGCTCTAAACAATTAACTATGCAGGAACATTCTAAAATAAGCCACTGCTAATGCTTCTTTAACATTTATCACACCCTCAATTTACATTAATTTTTGATGGACCATTAGTTCTCTAGTAAATAAATTCAATGTGAGGAATAATTTAGTTCACGGTATACATGCTCGTGGTTAAACTGCGAAAAAGTTCAAAATGCTCTTGGTAACTTCATCGTGTTCCAAAGGTGGCCTTCCTATGAACCAATGAGATAAAGGGTTCTCGACTTTTCTCAAAGGAGTAAAATTTGTAAACTGTACCTGCACTTTAGTTGCTCAATGATGTTTTTTTTTTAATTTTTCCTTCCCATGTTTCGATTTCAATTTTCTCTATGAAGATCTAGCTGTATCTCGGTTTATGTGTCTAGATTTATCTTAAATATTCAGTTTCTTCTTCCTTCTGTTTTGCAATTCTGCTCATTCATTCGCTAGTCTGCCTCTTAGCTATATTTCATTGATTAATCTTTGTTTCCCATTTTGTGCTCCTCATTCCCCAATTTTCCTATTTTTATTTGATGACACAACTCTTGATGACATAACTTTTTCTGTTCCTTTTGCTTTGATACTCATCAGTTGTCATTTAGATTAGGCTTGTTTTATTTTATATTTCTTGTATTCTAGTGTTACTCGCTCCCTTTATCCTACTTTATTCGTTTTCTTCGTTTGTCTTGATTCAATAAACACGTAAATCCTTAAATTAAGTCTGTTATCGAGCTGACCATCTACATTGACCATCTCCACCTACACTGGAGATCTATGAGGGCTACTAACCGATTCTGTAAGGTCACGTGAGCGGATGTTAGTTCTTTGTTCGTTCCCAGCCTTTACTCTATATTCAGCCAGATGCCTGTTGTTTTCTAAATGTTTCCAGAACAATAACCCTCTTCCTTGAAGAAGACGAAAGAAACTTTCTTCTTGCAATAGAGATCACGCTTTTAAACGGAATGAATTATCAAGCACTTTTCAGTTACTTTCTCTTACTATATTCATGTTCCTCAAGTCAAACAAAACCAAAACTAACTCGAAGGTATCTCGACGGAGACAAGTACGTTTTTGTCATCGACAATCTCTTCCCGGCAGAAGTTGTTCGTGGGTATTATGGCCTTGTCACTTCTGGGAAACTAGAGGGGAAGATCTCTTCGTGGTTTTACGCATACAACGATTATTACCAAAACATTGAGACTTTTAATACATCAAGTAATTCGCCTTGGGTTGCTCCTGTCAATCCAGAGTTTTTCTCTGATACAGCTTTATGGAATATAAGCCGCAAAGTCGTGGAAAAGTTATCTGGAGGGAGAGAATATTTTCCATACGATGTCACTTTCTCAATGCATCGCAGACTGGATTTTATAACTGCTTCTAGCAAGGGTAAGGGAGATATTTGAAGAATTTTACCCATCATGAAACTACGTTTGTTTTTCTTGTCTGATGTTCGTGTTCTTTATTTTGCATTGAATAATAATAAATCATGCAGATACGATACCATTGACTGAGTAAACAATGCAGTTCATCGCCGAAGAATAGCCAAGTTTTACGTGTAAATTTACATTGACAGTTTCTTCTGTTTCGAGCCCTCGATACAGCTGCCCTCAAAACTATAAAACTATACAGTAAATTATTTCCGAAAGGTTAATACTCGCTGTAATCCAAAACAGGTGTGAGCGAATACCTCAGGATTGTATTAGTTGCTATGTTGCAGAGTAGATACAGAAAGCTTTCAAGTCACTAAATCTGATTTGTAATTCTTCTTCCTAATTGCTTGAATTCTCCTTGGAAATAACTTTGTTAAATTGGATGTTTTATCATAAGATAACACTTTACAGCTGATATAGTTCCTTTTCTTATCGCCTCATTTCTGGAAAATGTATTTAAATTGTTAGGAGAAATTTCATTTTAATCATCTTTGGAGATGGAAAAGTTTAATACATCTTATTTTCAATTTTTTGGGGGTTGCATTTAGCAATTATTTTGATTTGTATGATATTCATATTTTTTCTTATGTCAACTGAAGATTACAAACGTCATGTTATAGCTTTTTATCATTAAAAATTTCATGTTTCTTACTTTGCTACATCTTGGTTTGATGAGTTGTGGCTCTCTGTCAGAGGGATGTGGTGGTATCAATTGTGGTCAGCTGATAGAATTTTGACTACAAGTGTTCATCTCACTTTAATCAAAAGGCTGTGAAGACTTTTTAGTAAAAGGTTACAGGTTCTGACACAATGGCCAGGCAGAAGTTTAAAATTTGGTAACCTTGCAACAAAGCTAACAATTAGAGGCAATAGTCTTGTCATACTCCACTGTCTACTTTCTGATTTTTTTTCTACAGCTTTAATTGATATCAGCCTCCCCTCCCCCACTTTAATTTTCCTTTTTGATATTAACGAAGTGGCCACTAATTTCTTGCAATAATGTTTGAGGGGAAGCAGAAACTTTCAAGTAGCTTTAAAGATTTGAATATATATATTTTTTTGACTTGATCCCTTACTTTTTGTTTTTTTACTTTTTTTTCTTTAGCTTTGATTAATCTTCCCCTCCCCTTACCCACTTCAATGTTCCTTTTTCATATTTATAGTTATTTTAGCCATTGGCGCATGTTGTAATCATTATGGTTGTTGACTAATCATTATGGTGGTTGTCATTCTTGAGAGGTGGCCATTGTTGGGGGTTTTAAGTAATAGCAAATGTATGAGCTGTTTGTCAAAATCAAAAATGTGACCCTTTTAGGGAAATGGCCATAGTGTAGAAGTGATATTTTGTGGAAGTTGGACTGTATTGAACAAACAGTTGCAAACTGTAAAGCAACTGTGATGATGATCAGTGCTGCCCTCGCTTCTGTGATTTCAATGTACATATAATTACTAATTGATTAACTTTTAATTTTGTCTGCTGTAGGTAATTTTTTCCTACATTTTTCTTTTTAATGTTTGCAGAGAACAACATAGATGAAGATGAACTCATGATCAGAATATCTCTGAACAAAGACTTCAAGAGAAATGATTATGGGGAGGCTATTTTTTACAAAGACAGTAGAGAAATTCTAGCTGCTGTGTATCCCAAAATGGGACGGATGGTTGTCTGGAATGCAACAGTTCCATTTATCTTCAAGCCTCCTGCAATGTCGTATGTACAAGCACAATTTGACATTCTTGTAAGAGTGACAACATCAAAAGAGAAAGCAAAACAAGCTATTGCAGAAACAAAGGTATTGTGTTGAACTTCAACTGCCCAAAATATCCATGTTAGGGGGTCATCAGAAAGTGGCCATTTTTTAGAAGATAAATTGAGGGGACTCTGAAACTTGTATAGCATTAAGCCCTTCCTGAATCTAAATCCACACACAAGTACAGCAATGAGCTCAAATTGTCACAGATTTAAGTGCAGCCATAGCATCTCTCAATTTTTAAATACCCATGTATTCACTATGTCAATGTATAAATTGTGATGATCAAATGGTAGCAGGTGGTGACTTACATGTAAATGAATCAAAGTTTTATCAGCATTTTGGGCCCAGAAGCTAAGGCTTTTCATTACCCTCATGGTGGGTCAATGTACCTTTTTATCTTGGCTATATTTCTTCAGTTGCTGAAGCACACCCTAGAGATACCACAACTTAACCCTTTATCCCTAAGGGTGAATAACATCTAATTTCCCACTAAAGTATCACTGATGAATTAAGCATGAACCTCATGAGAATTAAGGCAATGATTACAAACTTGAAAAGCTCTTAATGTTTAACTGAATTATCCAGTAGTCAGTGCCACTGGAAACATATTCAAGAACTGTATGGAGGGAATGTAAAAATAATTTTGATGTTAAGGTGTAAGGGCTTTAAAAAAATGTTGGAATAAAAGCCTATAAGAAAGTGAGAGTTTTACTCAGAAAGGAACTTCAATTGATCATTTCTTTTGCCTTACAGAGTTCTGGATCTCAGATTTCTAGAATTTTATGTTCTGTGGTTATTTTTATTGTAAAAATTCCAATTAACTTCATTGTGAGGTAATGAAATATTGAACTAATCACTTTCTCCTCTCAACTCCAACAGAGATTAATTAAAAAATCAGAAAGCCAGGAAACTCTAGGATTTGCCCTTTCAGATGAGGGTGAAATTCCTGTGCTGGACTTGAGTAAATATGAGAAGAGGAGGTTCCATGACAGTCAGGGTAGAGAAATTGCAGTCTTTGATGGTCTTGTTGACAAATCAGATCTTGATGCATTGCGACTCTTCTTGCTGCACTACAACAGTGTTTTCCAGTACCAACCATTTGATGGTGTGGATGAAGAACATGACAATGTGTCCTGGATCGCAATGTTAAAGGTTAAAATTACATTGATGTTCTTTATCTTTCTCATTAGTTGATTAGTTCAGCTAATGACGAGGTTTAAACAGTAACATTACCAAGTAATATTAGGCTAAGTGTGTAAATGAAAAATATCCTTTTCTTATATAATTTTACTAAGAGTGATTTTCAGTGAAGTGTGTTGATATTAAGGGCAAGTTATCACAAAGGTTAGTCAGAACAGCAATGGATTATCAAAGAAGCTGAATACTATCCAAAAAACTATGCAAAGTCATGGGAGACATAGTGGCCAAGTGGTTATTTCTGTGCTCTCTGGTCACTTTTTTGTGTTCTTAGGAAAGACAAGTCACATTGCCTCTCTCCATCCTGGAGTATTAATGAGTAGCAGTGAACTGTTTGGGAAACCTGAAATATTTTTTTGGGGGGTAACCCTACAATTGGGCTAACATACTGTCCAGGGTGGAGTAGCAGTACCCCTAGACACTGTGTGTTACCAGAACCTTGCTAATGGCACGTTAATATTAGGTATGGCAGATTTTTAATCTTGTTTTTTGGATTCATTTGGCAATAATATTTTTGTCATCATGAACTTGACAGGATAGATCAGGGTAAAATTTAACTGCAAAAAAAAAAATAAAAAATAAAAAATAGATCAACAAATTCTTTCTTATCATTTATTTCTTCATCCCAGGTGAAAGACTTTGTAAAAAGTCATTTGTGGAAGATTGTGAAGCTGCTGGCTACATACCTTAGTGGTCTTGATGAATGGTATCCATATGATGTGTCCATGAATATCATCAGAAACTCACATTATCCCAGAATTCATGAAGACTGTGAGCCTAATGAGGTACTGATTATTTAGCAATATATTTCTTATAACTGAATTTCTACTGTCATTTAATGTAAACTCTGCGGCTACTCTCCAAAAGTCTGTAGGGCATTATGGCACATTTTACAAGCTAAAATGGAGATTTTGGCATTTTAGCCTGCTTGCACACTCGCATAATTGTTCAGACTGTTTTATTATAATTTTTGTTTTTCAGTTCTTATTTTCTAAGTGCTCTCCAAAAGTGAAAATACTAGTCAGACTAGAAGTACAGTTAATTTTCTTGGGCAGAAATATGGTTTGGGCCCTTGTCAGAGCTTCTTAATTCACCCTGGCCTTACAACTTAGGCTAAAATGGCTCTGATGCACTCCCACAAACATAAACTCTGTTTTTATATTATTTGTGAAATGGCCTAGTGACATTATTTGTGACATTTTCTAGTGGGGGAAAGAGGTTCTACAGTATTGCCTTCTTTTGCGTTTTAATCCATGTGTCACTTTTTTCATGACATAGAGGAGCTCACTCCATGTCAAGAAAAATTAATAAAAGAGAGATCATATACACCACAGGACACCCTGACCATAGCTTGTACACACCACAGGAACCCCCTGACTATAGCTTGGGTGAGGTTTTATGAAGAGGAGAAAAACAACAGGAAGTAGGGCAGAACGAGATTGATTTAATGGAGATATTTCAAAGACCCTTTTCTCTCCTTTCTTTATATACTTATGTAAGGTCAGGCACTATATTTTGATTCTCTTTTTGCACCAAGTAAAACTACGTATACATTTCAGTTGAAGAAGTCCACAAAATATGAAGAAATAAGCGACAGGCAATTATGAACAAGAATAAATACAGATGGCTTAGAATGGAAAAGATTTAAAAGTTGAAAATGAAATGTTTACATTTTTTTTTTCAAGATGCACAAAACCGTGAAGTAGCTTTTGTAAGATAATTATGGCCTTTTCTTTCAATGCAGCATGAATACACCTTTCTCATGTACCTGACTCCTGACTGGGAGGCGAATAACTATGGAGAAACTGCATTTTTCGAAGAGGTTTTATCCCAAGACGGAACACCCTACCCCCCTGGACAACAACAGTATGAGTGGATTGCTTCTGTACGTCCACGATACGGAAGAATTGTAATTTTCCGAGGGATTATTCCTCACTCAGCCAGACCACCGAGCCCTGGGTTTAGTGGGGCAAGGTACACTTTCGCTTGTAAGGTGAGAAAGTTCGTGGTTGTTTGTTGACTTTTGACGTTTGTTCCCAAGAGGGGGGGGCGTGACTCTAATATCGCACAGGCACCAGAGGGCAGCTAGGTGGAGACCCATATTCCCAAGGGCCGCCCCCCCCCCCTACACCACGGCTAAGCCCTTATGTATTTCCTATTGTAAACCACCAGTCGGTAAAAGAGTAGGTTATAATAGACAGAAATTGAATCATTTGAGTAGAAATTCACTCATTTAGTTTGAGAGAAAGCCAGATACATTTTAGAATTGGAATTTTAACTGCTTCTCCAAAGTAAATAGTGTTGCCCCTATTAAGTCAGAAAAGCGCTCAGCTGTTGAGCCAAACTAAGCACAACCGACCAAAGCAACGAGGAATCAAAAAAAATATAGGTAACCAACTTCAACTACGAGCAATCGCTGCTTTTCGGCGAACTCCGTCGGGCGATTAAAAAAAAAAACGGTGGGGAAAAAAAGGTTAGCGCGCGACGAGTGGTAGAAGTAAGACAAGGTGTGATAAAGCAAAACCAGAGCAAACGCGGCTAACTTTGGACACTCCGTTGAAAACCTATGTAAAGCGTACATTTGTCCATCGGTAGGTTGCTCGTAACTACCTTCTAGCAATGTCGAAGTCTCTACGAGAAACACTGGAATATCTGGAAATGGGAAACAGTGAAGATCCAGCTGCATATGAACTGTTAAGTAATCTGATGGCAGATGAGGAAGACAGACCACCCTTTTCGATCGAGTTTATTGAAAAACAGCTCGAACATCATCGGCGAAAGAAAGAAGAAATGTTTGAAGGACTTCGCAATTCTGCTATGAAGGAAATATCTGGAGCTAAGGCGCCTATTAAAGATGAGCTTTGAGTGCAACATTTAATTAAGCAACGTACATTCAGGTTTAAGTTAGATCTTAGATTCGATTGTATTTAATAGGAAACCAGAACGTAAAAAAGGTCTTAGGGTCAAATATATTGAGACAAGAGTAACTCCAGTGCTCCACTGAAAATGTCCTTTAGTTTAAGTGAGGCATCGTTTCCCCTTTATTCCCTTTAAGCTTTCAACTCCTGACTCCAAAGTTGTGGCCATTTGATAATTTCCTCAGGTAACAATGATACGTAGCCAAGCAGACAGGCTACGAGAGGAAGAAAAACTATCAGCAAGGGTGTGTGTGATTCAATGCCAAATTCTCAGCTCTAACATTGTAACAAAATTATGAATATCATCAGTGAGATTTACGATGGATATCTTGGTAGTGAAAGGGTAAACCGGCATACAACGTTTCAAAGAGGGCGACACCATCAATGACACCATTGAAGTGCATTACATAAGTATGTCACATTCGAACGAATTCATTCAGTATCTCTTCACTTATATATAGTGTTTGAACAAAGACGTACTCTGATCGTTATACATCATGAAAACTGAGGCTACGTAGAACAAGATATTTATGAGAGTTTTGTTGAAACTCTTAAGGGGAAGCATGCTACAGAATGCGCGTGTCAAAAAGTATATGAAATGTCAGCGCGTTTCAGAATGAAAAGAGAACTTGTTTTCAGTAAGGACGCTGTATACAACTTTAGGCAATTTTAGGTATTTGGTGAGCAAGGATGTAGATAACAGCCGGAAGCCGGGAAAATTACCCGGCTGTGAACGCGATTCTTCCGGCTGTGAAGCATTACTTCTTTCTCCAAAATGTTTTTAAATGTTGTCAGAAGATTGTTATTTATTTATTTTCATTTGTTTACACCTTCAAATCTAGGTATAGCGTGCCAGAGGTACGTTAGAGTGGGCCTTCGGCCCAAATACTCGCCTATCATTTCAAGATTCTCGCCTGTTAAAAACTTAAGCTACATCCCTGGGTAAGTGAACTTGAATTATTCAAGTTATAGGCAGAAAAATTGGGGATGTCAGTAGTCCCGACAATGTCCTTCGCCAAGCCTGTAAAGGCTCTTTCCAACCTTTTCCCTATCTAGACAATCGGTTTGAACAATTAGTAGTTACACAAACAGGCAGATTTTTGTGCGATTAGCAGCAGAGCAGCATCAGTTTGTGAACCGCGCCTTGCAGCAACTTCTTTCATTGGGTGCTATTTCTGAAGGAGAGAGAGAACCCTGAGAATGAAGGCGTCACTTAGAGTCACGGATTTGCGTGTGCGGCTAGATTACTAAGTTTTCAAAATTGTGGCTGCCATTGCAACTCGAACACTTCAGTTACCCTTTGGAATCTTAAAGGGCAGTAAATATTAAACTTTATATGTACCTTGAAATGGCGAAGAAGCATAGTGCGCTTTTAACGAATATTTCACGACTCTTAAAAAACATAAAAAAAAAAACATAAAAAAAAAACCACTGAACATAAATGTCAAAGTATTTATTACACCTGTTACAAGGTTTTTATTCTGCAATATCAACTAATTTTGAACTGTCCAAATTTATCCTCATTCGTCGACATCAGTCCAAATCGTGGTCTGATTAAATTTCGTAACACTTGATCCAAGTGAAAGTGCTTGTTTTCATTTCAGCTATTGACGTAGGCAATTCCATTTTCACTGCTTTAATGCTGGAGGTATGTTTTTCTGAGTTCTAACCTTACAGATGAAATCGTAAATTCCAAGCTCGTTCAAGAATTTTACATTTACTGTCAATTTCTATCAAGTAATAATTTAGATATAAAATAAATTATTTACGAGCACGGATCGAAGGCAGCCTTATGTATATGTCTTTTCTTTTGGTTCTTGAGTTTCGTCGCTTCTTTCCAAACTTCGAAGGAAATTGTTTACTTTTTCCTGAAGAGTACATTCCATACCGTCAACATGAATCCCCAAAGGACTCGCATTGCTTCTCGGGTATTTGTCGTCGTCCAGTTGGGTCACATGATCAACCACGTGTGACATTGACAACTTAGGGAGATCGGTTATCGTGGCAACACCAAGGCGTGACGTACTTCCGCTATTTTCACGTGACGGTTGGAGAGGTATGACTTCTTCTTGACAAACTGATCTGGAAAATTGCTGCAGCTTTGTGGGGCAGGAGATTTTTCTGATCGGTCTCGGAGGCGATGATAAAGGTGACGAATGATGATGGGAAATCTTTCTCCGCACAAATATAGGGCTAGTGACACGACTGACAGCCTCGCTCCCTTTTCTCAGAGATGGCATAAAAGATTCATTAAGGGTATGGCCATTGGGATATGTCGAGGCGAGGTTTATCATTTCTGTCGATCTCGCCTTTGCGCGGTTTAAGTTGTCAGAGCCAACTTGCAAGGAACTTTGACTTAGCGTCTTCCGCAAGCCTCCTTCCCTACCTTCCTTTGTTAACAGTGGATCGGTGAAGGAAATTTTACGACGATGAACCAACAAAGTCGCCGCCGAAGGCGAACAGTGGTCGGATGAGTTCGAGTGCTGCTTCGAGAGTTGTCGTTTTAGAGCAGTCTTGCCAGCAGTGCTTGAAGAGAGTTTTCTTGTCCAAGCATTCTCAGTTTGATAGTTGGTTTTTACTAAGCCTTTGCCTTTTTGCTTGTCGTAGAAACCGGAATCTGTAAGGTTAAAAAGGATAATTGATTTGAGAGGCTCAGAAGGAAAGAATAAAAATTGGAATGTTAGTCTTTTTACAAGTCGCTAGAGTCAGTGATTCTCTATGCTTGTACATTCTCTTACCTAAGATGATTACGTATTTCATTTGGCCTTCTAACCAAATGAGGACTCTTTATCCTTTTTTATTGAACGTTTTACGTTAGAACAAGGAAATGTGGCGGAAAAGCCGAATTTTATAAGCACAGTCTAGTTTATGCGTTCTATTTTGTTCGAATTGTGGCAAAACTGCAAGATACGAGTTAGTTAATGGCTACAAACAGTCCACCTTTGAAGAACTTGTGGGTTTCTAAGGTATGGTCAAGTTTCTTTACAAAGAGAGAAACTTGTTAAGGTGGAAATGACAATGTTTTCTATCCCAATCAGATGAACTGTCTTGTTTCACTAACCGTAGGACAATTTCAACGAAATATGTTTTGAAACATTTAAAATGAGCATAGTAGTAAAGAATAATCCATCTTCCTTGTGGGAATGAAACCTTCACGAGTTATGATTTAGAAAATTTAACGAGTTACAATTTATGCCCTATCATCGACGCCATTTAAGAGATCATAACGACAAAAGCTGCTATAATTATTCCTCTGGAAAGTTCAGGGGTCATATGTTATTTACGTCGTATCTTTTATGTTCTATCAACCATTGCTACTTGTATACGCCTGCCCCACTTGTAACTGTCACGTTAATTACGGATGTTACGTTTAAGCTCTTTTGACATCCAGTCGTCCATCGCATGCAGTAAAAATGATGTAATGGTTCTTCGAATAGAAAACATCACTGGGTTGACGTTAGACTAAGAAACTGAGGAGGAAAACGAAATCGTTTGATAACAATTCAGTTATGGCTTTTCTTTCTTTTTTTGTTACCTTGGCGTTTAGATGGAATTTTGTAACATTTAGCGTTGTTTCTTAGTATCAGTTGTGTTGTTCGGTGTATAATTTGGGCTTAAAGTCGTAAATCAATATCATTTACGTGTTGTGCAGTAGATTACTATCAATTACTTATCTGCTTTAAATTGCAAATCATGATAATTGTGTTGAGGGCTTTGTATGTTTCGTGTTATTTGCGCTTGCGGAAGAGAGCTCCAACACTTGTACTCCAATTTCAATGATGGTCATACTTTCAAGATAGCAAAGGTATTAAATCGCGCTTCTTCAGCGAAAGCAGCACATCAAAGCTTTACTCGTGTTCACTCCTTTCAGTGCGCCAGTTTTACCATTCATTTCAGTTCGCGCATCCGTTGGAGAATATTTCCAATTACTTTTAAGCTGAACGAAAGCTTACAGCTCCAAGTTTCCGGGCCGAAAGTGGGTTTACGTGTTTTTTTTTTTTTTTTTTTTTTAAAATTAACCTTTTTTTGCTTCCGATTCTCCAAGTCTGTGCTCCATTCAATTAGTTATTCTTGCTCAATGACCTGTAACAACCGATTTCTTAGGGAATATTGCTGAGACAGCTTTCGTTACACGCCGACCTATGGAAGAGCGCTCCACTTAAACAAACACTGATGCGAGAATATATGTATCTTGTTAATAACTACTCACTAAAAGTACTTCTGTTAGACCGCAGGTTTACCTTCTAGAATAATGTGCTCTAAAGTTGGTTCTTCTGAATTATCCAAGTCTTCCAAGCTCTTTGCCCGATTATCGAGTTTAGTTCCTAAAATCTCACAGTTTTCACCAAAAGTCACTGTGGATGATAATTTCGTGTTCGTCTCGCTTTTGTCAATGTCTGTTAAAAGCGATATTTTTGTGATCGGCGGTGATCGGATTGTGGCCTGCTCTCGTAAGGTGTAATGCAATCCGTTGACTTCATTTTGAAGGCGGTTAAGTGTTTTCTGTCGAGCTTTTTCCAGTGAATTCAGAGAAGTTTGCAGTATTCTGTCTTCTCTATCGTTTAACCATCGCACGTTATTGCTACCATGCCCAAGATTTAACTCGCGCAGACCCACTTTTCCTCTAGTTGCAACTTTCATGCTCTCCATTTGTCGCTAAATCGTCCGGTTCTGATCTTGAAGACAAGGGTGTCTGTGCTTAAATACGCCTCTTTGACGTGTTAATCTCTAAACGACTGGTAAGATATAAATCACGGAGCGCTCTTTTGTCTAATGCTCGCAAATTTTTATTTGCAAATGACTCTAGCCGATTGACAATTAGTCGAATGAGGAAAGTGGTTCCTTTGCCCTTGGGATTAATTACTGAGAGATGCTTTTCTCTTGTAAACAATAAATTCGCTCACTTCTTTTGTGCACTAATCAGCTGACAATGATGATATTTGCGTCATAATACCTAAGTGACTAGGTAAAGTCTTTTATACTTTATTCCCTACGTGCGTAGAGCTTTTGTTTCTAAGGGGCGAGCTGATAATTATTTTTAAAATTTTCAGCCAAAGCAAAATAATTCATGCAATATCCGGAGCACTATCCTCTAAAACGGGTGTGATTTTCGTCTTTTTAACAAATTCAACGTCAATGTCAGGGCAGTAATCTTCTATGAATTATTAAGTAAGCGAGTAGCGGGTTTTTCAATAACGAATGCTTCACTTTTTTGAAATATAAACGAGCTGTTTCAAATTAAAAACCTATATGGGGATAGTGAACCATATTTTTTCAATGCACCGAAACGAACTAATTTTTTTCTGCACGCAAATTGCGCATCCGAAAGCAGGAAGACCTCATCAACATTTCATACGCAAATTGTAAAATATCCAAATGTGCAATCGTAACCAAAATTTGTCTCGAATGTTTATTTTCTAAAAATAAAGAAAATAACTACTAAAATAAATTTTAAAAAACAAATGTTGGCTTGAGTGATATGAAGTATGTAACTACAGATCCAAACCAAACGTAGGAAACTCATGAAAGGTCATAAAACAGCAATTAAACGGTCGTTCAGTGGAGCCACATGACCCAATATGTTCGAGTCATTTTAGCGTCATAAACAATTTCTTTTATTAGAATGGAACCCAAAAAAAGGAAAATGCCTAAGATGGGCTTACACTGAAGGGTATTTAAACCAAAAAAAAAAAAGGTACTGTTAGCGATTGTGAAGATTTACTCAGATTTCAATTTACGAATTTTGACACAGCTTTAGGCTAAAATTTCCGGCAGCACTCACCGCTATATATATATCCAAGCAACTGCATAAAAAGATCCTGTATTGCAACGTCATTTACGAAGATAATTATCACATTAGGAACATTCTGGACTGTCTCAGTGAACCGGCAAACGTGGCTTTTCACTAATAACTATTTCCAGCATAAGAGAACAAAATGATATAAGTAGTTTTCATCCTTTAAAAATATACTCTTAATTGCGCAACTCCTACGATTTTGATCGAGTTCATTCATGTAGAATCTCCAAGAAAATCGTAACATCACTTTGCAGATTAAGGACTTGACCACGAATGACTCTGCATCTTTAAGCATTTAATATGTTTTGAGACAGTCCACGCTTGTCTTAGTTTTATATTGACCTGTTGCAAAGTGTTGTTTTGAGTGAAGTTGTACGCAATTCTTCCTGCCTGGCCGTATTTCTAAAGGCCTCCTCCACACAAAAGCGTTCTCATTTAAAAACGCGAATCTTTTCAGACGATTTTGCTCAGCATTTGCACTAAAACGCTCACTAACGCACCGAAAAACCCCGGGTAACTTTTGAAATGGTGTTAAAAGAAGAGTCTTTTGATAACCGATAGCTTTATTTTTAATGTGGTTAGATGAATGCAGAGGCTTTTGAAAAGGGTCTAGTGAAATGAATCACTCCGTCTTATGGCGTTTTAGAGCACCAGCACGCACGTGATCAAGACTTTTGTCTGTTTAACAACCCTCTGTTCTGCTTATTGTTGCGGTGCTTATGTTCTCGCTGTGTTATTCGAATGCTTGAGTATTGTAGTAAGAAATTTTAAATTATAGTAGAGCTGAAGTCTCACTTGTCTGTTTAGTGGAAATGAAATAGTCGTACCTCCCAATTACGAGTTTTGTCTAAGTTGAGACATAAAATTTTCAGCTGTGGAAGACTGGTATCATTCGTTCTGGTAAATTAAGCACACGTGGAAAAAACGTAAAAGTTAGTCGTAGACGTGATAAGAATATTTAAAACGACTGACTTAATTTTTCTTAAATGTCCAGTTCGGAGCTAATCTGCATAATTTTGAAAAGACTTTAGACTCATCATTATGGTTTTTTAAGTTGAATCTTTAGGAACATATTGTAAATGACCTTATGTACCCAGTGTATAGCCCAGCTTACAAGGTAAAGCATCACGCAGCGAAATACGAGGGGCTGACGTTCGTATCCTTGAAGGGCGGGTGTAATATTTTCTTTTACTTTGTCATTTGCCCGTAACAAGTGAATGACATCTTTCGATAGCCGAGCTCGAAATGTCATCAGTCGTCATTTATCACAAAAAAAACGCTCATGAATATTCAGTAGGTTCCGTGATTGAGGATGTAGACCATATCATCTTAAGATTCTATCACAGCGCACACTGTTTAATCTCAACCACGCTACCACGCTGAGGAGACAAAAAGTAGGCTTTGATCAGACATACTCCAAGTTACAGCTAAATCTTCGTTTTGATCCACGCAAACTCAGAGGGGGTCACAGCCTATTGCTGAAAAACACACCTAAATAAGTTATTAATCATGACTCTTGGTACCCAATTCACAAACCAAATTACTTAATCTTTCTCAAACATGTCCGCAACACGTCGTAAACAATTCGAAACTTAAGTTTAGTTTTGGTCACCACCTATGGGCATAAGCTACATAACAAATGATTCGCATAGCTCTCTGAACGTCATCTTTTGCTCCATGTCAATTCTGTTTTCGATCTTCTATTCAGCAAGGTATTACATGATTATGCCTTTCTACCACAGCCAATCAAAATACGCCATTCTGTTGACCTTAAAGCCCTTAACAAATCGTATTACATTTAGCGTCTTCTCATCAACGTGCGTTTGCAATGCAGATGTAATCTCAATGTTTGAAGAATTTTAATTAACCCACGGCGGCGAAGTTCACCTCGACGGATTCATTTTCTGACGCGTTCTGGTTATTAGTGTGAGCTAAAGTGAATTTCACCGGTACAAAAGTTATAATCAAGTCGCTCCTCTATTGTCTGGTGATTTTGTTCTCGTGAAGAAGGTGTGAAGTATACGTGAGTGGGTTAGTTGGCTACTGTTTGTATTTACTCTGTTAATGTCTTTTGCCTCAGATCTTTCACGCAAATTATCTGCTGCTGTTTTTCTTTCACAGACTCAAGAACAGACAAAATGCCCGTCCCCGGTTGTTTTTTTTGAGTTTCATCTCCTTTTCATACACTCTATATCATTGGTCAGACACTCTTTAAGGGTTTGAATAGCTGCTAACTTGAAAAGGAGTCTTCTGTGTAAAAGAACAAAGGGCTTCTAATTCCTTGGTTTACTTTGAAGTTAATGCAAAAATGACAGAGGCCTTGAGCGAGCTTGGCTGCATTTGAAGTAGTCTTTAAACTAAGCGGGGTTTGCAAATTCAGTCACACAGGAGAACGAAACTGTTCTCAGCAATGGTATATTTGATGTAACAGTTGTGGTCTTTATGAGAGAACTGTTCCACGGGATATGTCATCTAACCCTCAAATAAACTCTGGATTACTGGATTTTCATCGGTTCTTCACTATTGAGCAATATCGAACTTCGAGACCTTTCTCTCGACGCTAAACTCAGAATGGATCTAAATTTTAACATTTGCCAGCCAGACACCAATGAGAAAAAGCACTCTACTGATGACCTTGGAATCAAATCAACCCATGTCATAAACCTGGGAGAAAATGCTCACGCTATCGGAACACAGAACGGAAAAAAGGAATTCGGAAGCTCGGAACATGTCTGTCTGCCCACAGTTTTTGAGGGTAAAATTACTCATGAAAGGAAAGTACTCCAAAAAGAGAAGTTAACAAATATGGGTAAGTTGAGTTTGTTATGTAACTCTTCCGTTGAAAAATAAATATCGCGGTCAGTTGTGCTGCTTAATATTCTGCGAAAATATGTAAGAGTGAATTCAGTCTTGATCAAGCACCCCACTCAAACGGAATTTTAGACTGTACAGATCCTACACAGGGCCCAACGTGAAACGGAGAGAGGAAATGAAATTCATTTCTCTTCTCCGTCCTCGCTATATGCTGGCCACGCAAGCGAAATGTATCTACAATAAGAATGGGGTTTTTCGTGTAACTGCACTCGATAAAATTAATTCTTTTTTACACCAAATTCAACATACTCACATCGGTCAGATTACCCTATAATGCCCGTATTCATGTAGATACTTCGATCTAGGCACTTCTTATTTTGCCAATGAAATTAAGCCAGTTAATAATGATACATAATTTCGGTGTAAATTTGTTTAAACATTTCAAACCTGGAAAAATCGATTCATCCTTAATAGAGTGGTCAAATGGTCAGATTCTTCCATTTTTTAAGTATAAGAATAAGTTTTTCGTTTTAGCCGCCGATTATTACATTTAACAACAATCTAAACACTAATAAAAAACAAAGCCTTTTTTCCGTCTTAGTTAAAATTAAACAAATGCTAAGTTGTCATGACTTTTCTTACGTATTCATGCCAAATAAAGTAACAGCACATTGTGGAAGCATCGATGCAATCGATGCAACAGCCTCGATTGACAATTAAATTCAGCAAAAGGGCACACGAACATTTGTCAATAGGTGGCCAAAGGAATAGTTTTTTTGCCGGATAAAAGTCCATTACCTCTGCGAGAATCTTTAGGGTAATACCTTTAATCTCCAGTTATGATTAGATGGAATTATGACGTAAGTATGAGGATTTGATATCACTGAGCCATATTTGATCATAAGTGCGATAGCTATCTCTAAATGAATGATGTCCTACTTATTTTCTCACTTGCAGTCTCCTTGCGGAGGTCTGGGTCAAATCATGACGTCAGACGCAGCGATCCTCGGGCACTATCCCCATGCTTCCCGAGATATTCATCCCAGGAGAGCCTGGATGATAACATTCCAAAATCGCCCATTGTAGGACGTACGTTCCAGCGCAAAATCTCTAACCCACTCCCCACGGATTCAAAGAAGAAGTTGCACTTGAGAATTAGGGGAAGAGCTCTTTCGGATTCTCCCGCGGAAGCCCTTATTAGTCCTGTTGTCCCGCGCAAACATCTAAACCCTGAAAACGACTTTAATTATTGGCAAGTACAAGGAGGTTTATCGCGCGTCAAGTCTTGTCCTGTAATCAAATCTGAATCAAATGAGCGACTCAGCGATCTTTCACTTTTACTGACAAGTAAGTCGTCTTCGGCTGTACACTCGACTTTTAAAGCCGCTGACCTTGACAGATTACCACAGATTCATCAAGAGGATAGTCCAATGTTGGTGCGCACGCGTAAAACATCCAACGAAAGACCGAGAGAGCTGTTTAATGTGAGTCCCATTATGGGTCAGTCTGGTAATTTCTTAAGGAAACCCAACATAGCTAACGATAATCAGTGTGATTTTACTGATAAAGTAGAATACTATCTGTATAGTATGTCTTTTGACGATGATAAAGCTTCGATATCTGGTTTAAGCGACAGTTGATTGTAATTCACGCCATGCCATCCTGAGTGTTTGATGTGGTAGTTCAAGGCGATGTAGGTGTTGCACCTTACCATGAGGACAAGAGCGTGTTCTACAGATGATCAACTTCACGCGCCTAAAATCTGAAGTGTGCCAAAGGTTTCATTGTACGATAAACTACAATGAACTGCTTTGCTTCACTAAATTCAACCCTCCATTACTATATAGTCGGGACATTCGTCATGACCTATGCTCACATTCTCCGCATCTTTTGCTTTGAGCAGCTCAAATGATTATCTTCTTTTTCCCTTTCCGGTTTGATTAGGAATAAATAAAAATAGATGGAGACTTGGCTTAAATCAACTGGAAACATGCCACAAATGGTAACCAAGATCACGCAAGAATGTTTGATTAAATTGTTTGCAAAGTTTGTTTTTAACGTTTAAATCAAACATTGAGACAATTCTGTCAATTCTATTAGCTGCTTGCAAATAAATCCTAATAAATTGCCTCACGCTATTGGATACGACTGCTCCTTTTAAGTAATTGTATAGCTGTTTTTCACTTAAGCATTTTGCAACCTCCCTGATTAAATTTGTAATAATAATACTACTAACAATAATATGATAAAAAAAATAAATTTAATATTTATAACTCAGATTTATTTATTTACATACATAAACGAAATATGGCTCAAGTAGGTAATAACATACAGTGCTATTGGTTCTATCCGTTACTGAGACAGTTGTCGTGGTTGAGATGTTTGATCAATTTTTTAACTTATCTAAGGGAGTCAACTAAGTGAAAGTCACTACATCAGCGTCTTCGACAGATGGTTTGAATCATTTACCAAGTCGTGGTTAGCACGCCGGTGAGTCAAAAAGACTTGCGCGACGGACCTCACCGAAAAGGAGGAACTGCTCAAAGTCTGTGAATTTTGATCTTAAAAAATTGAAATAAAAGCACCTTGCGGATGAAATTTTGATACCAAAATCTTTGGGAGATGTTTCTCGGTAAACCTGCACTTTTTTTGAGACTATAAAGTTCCTTAAACCGGGTTTGAAAATGTTTCCCATTCGGCCTTCATCAGAAGACGAAACCAGTAGAAATGTACTCTTTTCAATTTAGACTCTCACTAAATAGAAATTCCTTTCGTAAGCTCATTATGATTTGGAAATTTACTGAAAACGAATAAAGCTAATTATAATTTGGAAATTTACTGAAAACGAATAAAGCTAATTATAATTTGGAAATTTACTGAAAACGAATAAAGGTTGGTCTGGAAAAAAGAAAAAAGTTTTAATGAAGAATCTGGCGCATCCACATATTACATTGCGACCCATATTTGCACTTCTGCGATAAAGTACACACAGATGACAATTTAATAAACAAAATTCCCACTTTGATTTGCAACAGCGTTAATCTATTATTAATCATCTGATTCTTCGCCTTCTTTTACACTTGTACGTCCCACGTCGGGAGAAAATCGCCCCAGAGCTGTATGGAGAATTGAGCTCACATCCAAACTCCCTGGAGTAGGGGTTGAAGACCTCCGTAGTTCCCAGGGTTTCTGCCGTCTCCCGCTTGCGTCTCTCTTCGCCCCTACCGGCCGGCTTGGCGTAAATCGTGGATCAGATCCTCTCCTTCCTAAATCTATCGGGCAATCTTCCGACAGTTCGGTTATGTTTTGAAACGATGCACTTTTCCTCATTGGCAAATCAACAGTCCCCAGCATGTTGTTGTTGTTGCTGTTACTTGGCGATTTTTCTTCCATCTTTTCTAGTTTTTGAAGCATTTCGATAGTTCTTGCTCGGTCGGTGGCATCGTCTTTGCTGATTCGCGTGTTTCCTTTTTTGACGCGAGATTTCAGGGAATTAACTGTAGGATTATTGTTTGCCATCAAGCAATCCAACAAAAGGGAAAGAGCTTTGATCGAGGTCTTTCTTCTCTGGCAACTTTTCGAGGTTGACCAAAATTGTCGCCTCCACTAATTATTCTTTAAGCAGGTGGTATTTTAAAAAGAAACTGTGCTGTCAACTGTTCTTTGATTACCAAAATATCTTCATGTCTGTTGGGAGTACTATTCTTGATTGATGCTTTTCCGGTTTGATCGGGATTAAACGAGATGGAGACTCTGCTTAAATCAACTGGAAACAACCCACAAATGGTAACCAAGATCACGTAAGAATGTTTGATTTAATTGTTTGCAAAGTTTGTTTTTAACGTTTAAATCAAACAGTGAAACAATTCCGTCAATTCTATTAGCTGCTTGCAAATAAATCCTAATAAATCGCTTCACGCTATCGGATATGACTGCTCCTTTTACGAAATTGTATAGCTGCTTTTCACTTAAGCGTTTTGAATCCCCCCTGATTAAATTTTTCCTCTTTTCAGTTACTTGTGTTAGAACACCGGTCAAGATAAACAAATTCTTTGCGAAGAGCGCACAAATGCGTAATAACATACAATGCTATTGGCTCTGTTCGATAATGAGACAGTTGTCATGGTTGAGATATTTGGTCCAATTTTTTTTTTAACTAAGATAAGGGTGTCAAATAGAAGTCACTGCATGAGCGTCTTCAACGGACAATTTGAATCATTTACTGAGTCATACTCGTCATTTAAGGTGTGTAAGGCCGGGTATATGTTACACACTTAGTTGGGATTTTCACATATCAGTCATTTTTTATTCTGTCCATTCACAGTCTGTAGAGTGCTTTCGTTGGTGCTTTTTATGAGGTAAGGTTAACGTAGGTTAGGAAAGAGCTCTCTAGCGGCCAACAGACCTGAGAGCTGAGGGTAATGACTGATTAGCTGACTGACGACTGATTGACGTCTGACTCAGAGAGTGATCAACTGATTGACTGACCGACAGACAGACTGATTAGCTGGCTTGCTAAGTGACAGTCTGACTGAATTACTGACTAACGGCTGACTGACTGACTGACTGACTGACTGGCTGACTGATCGACCATCTGACTGAAGACTGAGTGACTGACTAATTGACTTAAAAATTGACTGAAAGTTTAATTTATGAACTACTGAATGCCGGAGTGGATAAATGAAAGATTCAATGACTGCGTGAGTGAGATTATGAAAAAACAGATTGGCTTTGAATTTTTGAATACAGCGAGTGGTCCCTCTCTTTTTGCGAAGTTCGTCGCGCAAGTCAAAAATAAACCAGCGAAAGTAAAAAAAAAATTGATGTCAGCGCGCCGAGTAGACCTCTAAGAGAGAGGCGCAAGAAAAATAAAATGAATACGAAAACTGTGGTGCTGCGTCGGTGGGAGAGTATAACAAGGTAATTTGGTATTATTAACTGAGTTGATCATGCAAATTGGCCACCGAAAAGAGTTTCAAAGCTGACATTTTGAACGTTAGCCCTTCGTCAGAGCGAATGAAGGAATTGTGAGTTGTGAGTGAGTTTATATGCAGAAAATAGAGATGAGAAAAGCAGCCTAACTCCCAAAGGTTCACGCGGCGCGCGAACATAAATTTTTCAGTGATAGAGTATCTTTTCCAAGGTCAGGATCACGATAATGGTGACGCCAGCCCTAAAGACGATGCCGGACAATTGACATATTACTTTGCTTTTCCCTTCTTTAAGTTTTCTAGCGGGGCACTTATTTACTTCAATTTTCAGGATTTCAATCCTCTTTAAAGTCTCTTAAAAACTTGTGAAGATGTAGGCCGCATGAAACTCTTTCACTGACGAAAGACTCACTCTAGCTATAGGCCTAAGTAGTAGATAGATGGAATGAGATAAAACCTATCAAAGCTCCATTAAATTAGTTAATAGCTGTTTCAGTAAACGTTTCTTTTCACTCAAATGATTAGCTGGGATTTAACTAGCGAAAATGCAAATTTAAAATGGAAAGCTTTATGTGCCTTTCTCGCTGAGTGACAGGATCTATAATTAACATTTCCTCGTTTGCTTTAGTATCGATAAGAATTAAAGAGATCTCAACGTACGTACATCATTATCCCATAATGCAGAGTCTCTGTTTTCTTTCACAACACCGTTTGAGGACGGTCAGGCCCAGAGAACATTTCCAATGAGTAAATTTCGCTTTTAGACAGGTAAGTTTCAAACAACATCTTTGATAGCGAATTTGCCCGAGTGAAATAATCCATGGCGATTGCAAATTCAACTGAGGATGGAAATCATACAATCACAAAGAGCTCTGTAGCGCTTCAGTTCTTGGAGCAGCTCAGGACATTTTCATTTCAACTTTGGATATTCCATTATCCATCATTGCATTTGTAGGGAATATTTTGATCATTGTTGCTCTTCAGAAGGTTTCGTCGCTTTATCCGCCGTCGAAACATTTGCTCGGTTGTCTGGCGAGCACAGATTTGGGCGTGGGCCTCATACACATCCCCTACGAGGTGGAATCCATTTGTCTCGAGATCACTCGAAGGACTGGTACTACTTCTGATTCCTTTTTACCATCACGAGTTTGTTGTTTAGCGGCGTATCTTTATTAACAATGACTGCAATAAGAGTTGACAGACTTCTTGCTCCGTTTTTGGGGCTGAGATACAGACAGGTGGTGACTGTAAGGCGAGTAATGGCGCTTGTTGATACTCTTTGGGTATCCAGTTGTTATCTCCCTTATGGCGTAATCTCAAGTTTCATGATTATCACTGGTTTGGAGACACGCCCACTTTACTTTACCTGGTCTTTAAAGATATCTCTTATGTTGTTTAACTCGACTCTAAATCCATTCCTGTACTGCTGGAGGATGCGAGAAATGATTCAAAGAGTGAAGGACATCATCAGACGGTTTTCCTGTCCATCCCAAAAAGCAACTTAGATTTGTTTATCATACAAGACCAAGGTATGGTTAGTGCTTTCGTAGATTTAAATACCTTGTGCACAACAGTACTACTGAGGTGTTTCCGAGAACGACTAAAATCGTTAACAAAATACTGTTTGAGAATGTGGGTCCTGGGAGTGGCTCGATGATAGCCCTTCTCTGCTGCATATCTAGTTCAACAGCTGAAAACTCATCTGCTGCACCGATCGCGCACAGAATATGAAGGAAGTGATGGCTGTGCCCTACCACGTCGAAAACTCCAATCATTAGACGTTCTGGGACGCGGAAAACATACGCAAGCGTCCCACCCGCGTAGAATAGACAGTGACGAGTGAAATACTGCACGGATTGAGGGCTGCTACAAGTTGATGTTGTGTTACATAATGATAACATTGTCCAATAAGGTGAAGTGTTGAATAGCCACGAGCTAATGTAAGTACTCGCTTTTAAAGCTGCATCGAAACGACTTGTGCTGCAAAACGAGTAGCAACACGCCAACGTCGATGCAAAAGAAACGGCGGCGGAGATCGCTAGGAACAGAGCGGGAGTGTTGAATATCAACCAAGTTGTGTTCACCGGCCTGGAATAGAAATAAAACACTTGACCAGCCGTGAAGGTGTACACGCTAATGGCAGCATAATCGAAAAAGAAGCATACGTGGCAAGCCTTAGTGGACATGCAGTTGAACAAGTGCGCGCTAACACTCATAGCAAGCATTACACAAATCCCGAATGCAAAGCACAGCAGTGGATACACGAACGGATCTTCCTGCAGCTTGTGTTTGGCGAAGACAGAAGCAAAACGAAGCATGAAAACAGCAAACGCCAAAACATGACTCCAAATGTTGATCGTCTCGTTGGTGGCTTGAAACAAGCTTTTGAAACAATACCACGCAGACGAATCACACTTACGATAACTCGATACTATGAACGGTTGGCGAAAAAACGAAGGTACTTTGTCAAAATTTACCAAATCATTTGAGATGTCAGTTTCCTTCTCCAATTCGCACTTGTTTCGTGTGATGTTCCAGTTATTGTCTTTTTGGTTATTATTTTTACTGATCAGCGCTTTAGTGGCCCCATAAAATCCCTTTCCTGTTCGTGTTGGCACGTTGGATTGCCGATTCTTCATGCTCTCACAAATTAACAATCTCTTTCAACTAACCCGGTGCAATAATGATTATGTTTGGGTAGCTGCTCTCTTTCTTTGGCTTTTTACCAGTTCATTGTGTTGTAAATATTCCGCAATTGCGCTTATTGTTTACGACATACATTTTTGAGTGCTACGCTTCAGTTATAATACGAAAAAAAAAAACGAGTTTCATCACAGAGAGCTGTACACAAGATGAAGAATACGAAAACTTGGCACTAGTTATTTTACCAGTTTTCATTAAATATGAAACACAATTATTGGCATTTTACCCATTAAACGGAATTACTTTTGGAATAATGAATGCTAAGTCCCTTACAAAGTCCACAAAACCACAGACATGTAAATAGGCATGTCCTATTTGGCGTGCAAAGAGTATTTTTCTTAAGAAGGGGTGCATAACTAAGAAAAGAACCAGCTGACGGGTGATTTCAACAAATTTTAAAAGCGAAAATGAAGAAAAAAGACTTACGGCGAAGCAATAACAAAATGTGAACTTCTGGTGCTAAATAGCAAACGATATGGCAGATTTTGCAAAACAGTGAAGCTATGTTAAAGAGCCGAAGGTCATCTTAGGGTTGGGGGGAGGGGGATGATTGCGCACCCCCTGCACCCCTCCCCGGAATTCGCCGTTGTGTATAATAATGCTACAACAGCGTTATGAAAATAATGTTAATACCGTAAGAGTGACCTTCGTTTAGGCCAGGAAACGTTTCCACGCCCTAAAAAATACGTATTTGAACAATATAAATTTGAAGCCATTTTCAACTAAACAAATGAAACACTGTTCATGGTATTCATTAAAGCCTGGCAGTAGCTCAGAGGAAAATTTACTCCTTTTAGTTTGGCACTGTATAGTTAATGGATGATGACCTGCTCAGCACATCGGAAAAGGGTTTTATTATATCTTTTAACTGCAGATTAAGAAATGAACATGAAGCGATATTTGCAGCAATGAACACTACTTAAGCAGTAGTGAAAATAAGGCCTGAAATATATATTTAAAGTCACTGATTTATCACTTCACGGGTTTATTTGGAACCAACATAATGACTAGCTCCCCCATGGCCTGTTAGCTCAGGTGGTAGAGCACTGCACCGGTATCGCAGAGATCATGGGGTCAAATTTTTTTCAGGCCTTATTTTCACTACTGCTTAAGAAGTGTTCATTGCTGCGAAGATCGCTACCGATACCGTGCCACGTGTCTTGAACTCTCTGTTCACGTGCTTTCCCTTTGTCTTCGTCAGTCAAATACAGAACAGACCACTCAAAATATTTTTTCAAACAAGAACCTGTTCAGTTGTTGGCTTAGATCTCGAGAAAGAAAAGTTGCATAGAAATGAGGAGAAGGCTTAACTGAAGAAAATATACTTTAAAAAAATTGTCATTCTTTAAGAAAATTTGAATATATGATAAACGACACAAAAGATCAATATCATAATTATCAGCTTTACAAGTCATTAGTTTGTTTTTGACACGACATTTTACGCCACGGACAAAGTTCGTATCTTCTGTGCGAGTTTTGCGACATTTCTAAACTTGGGAAGAATATGGAGATGTTAGAAACGAAAAAGCGAAAATTAAACGTTATGTTGAAATTATTCCGAAATATTAATGGTTCATAACTGTCTTTTAGAAAATTATCAACAAAATAGGTCACCTGTCGAGAATGTAAAACTGGGTAAACAGTCATGCATGTAAATTGTTTTAATTTCAATTGAAAACAGCACTATTTAAAATAATTAGACGTTTGTAATAACATAGTTTTAAGGAAAAAAAGGAAATATCATTTACTACCGATTCAAATTTGGTCGAAGAAATTCTCGACACTTCAGATTGTCCATCTTTATAGTCTTCTTGTACATTCAGGAGAAACGTCAAAATACTATACGTACATGTGTGGATCAGGTCAACACGGGGTCGATGGAGGTTACGTTTTTTTTAAGAATTAGACTAACCACAAATAGAAGTAAAAGAACGATAGAAGAAATAAAGTATGACAAAGAATGGCGGACTGCAACTAACAAACTTGATTTAATCTATGCTAATTATTCCGTAATGTACTGACCACAAATATCATCTTGCAGATGCGTAAATTTATATACTATTGTGAAAGAAAAAATTGCGTCTATAACTCTTCGCCATGAGAGCAGTTGTCTTAATTATGCATGCTGAAAACAGTGTTTTTAAGATTAAGAGTTCTAAAAACTTCGAATGCTTAACAGTTTCTTGGTGAGAAATTTATTGAGTGCGTGAATTAGTTTGAGGTGCATCAAAGTTGGTCTCGAACCTTCTCGAGTTTTTCTCGTGATACTTTTTGTATATTATGATTATCTCTGTGGAGAACAGACGCATGATGGAAGAGGTGAATGTTTTGTCTACCAAGGCCTACCATAAATGAGATGCGCGAGGAAGTCGAAGTTCAAAGTCCCATGGTTGCTTGAAAATTTTGAAATTTGAATTTAAAATATGACACAAATGAATAGGATATTTACGATTCAGTGAACTGGAACGAAGTCGGCGAAAGAGAGCAGTCATAAAAACGACCGCCTCAGCTAAAAAAAAAACAGGACCGTTCTTTTCCAGAACGCAGACCCTTTTTACGAGACAGGATGAAACGAAAGTGCAAAGTGGCCATCGGAACAGATAATGAACGCCTTATTAGCGAAAGTGGTCTTAAAAAAAGCAACAAAAAGAATATCGTGACAACCAAAAGTAAACTGGAAGAAGCTGACACGTCCAGTGACTTGGTGGATTTCGACAAAGTTCCTTCTTTTTTCCGCGAGCCGTTTATAATATCGAGTTATCGCAAGTGTGATTCGTCCGCGTGGTACTGTTTCAAAAGCTTGTTTCAAGCCACCAACGAGACGATCAACATTTGGAGTCATGTTTTGGCGCTCGCTGTTTTCATGCTTCGCTTTGCATCTGTCTTCGCCAAACACAAGCCGCGGGAAGATCCGTTCGTGTATCCACTGCTGTGCTTTGCATTCGGGATTTGTGTAATGCTTGCCATGAGTGCTGGCGCTCACTTGTTCAACTGCATGTCGATCAAAGCCCGTCACGTATGCTTCTTTTTCGATTATGCTGCCATTAGCGTGTACACCTTCACGGCTGGTCAAGTGTTTTATTTTTATTCTAGGCCAGTGAGCACAACATGGTTGATATTCAACACCCCCGCTCTGTTCCTAGCGATCTCCGCCGCCATTTCTTTTGCATCGACGTTGGCGTGTTGCTACTCGTTTTGCAGCACAAGTCGTTTCGATGCAGCTTTAAAAGCGAGTACTTACATTAGCTCGTGGCTGTTCAACACTTCACCTTATTGGACAATGTTATCATTATGTAACACAACATCAACTTGTAGCAGCCCTCAATCCGTGCAGTATTTCACTCGTCACTGTCTATTCTACGCGGGTGGGACGCTTGCGTATGTTTTCCGCGTCCCGGAACGTTTGATGATTGGAGTTTTCGACGTGGTAGGGCACAGCCATCACTTCCTTCATATTCTATGCGCAATCGGTGCAGCAGATGAGTTTTCAGCTGTTGAACTAGATATGCAGCAGAGAAGGTCTATCATCGAGCCACTCCCAGGACCCACATTCTCAAACAGTATTTTGCTAACGATCTTAGTCGTTCTTGGAAACATCTCAGTAGTACTGTTGTGTACAAGGTACCTAAATTTACGAAAGCACTGATGATACCTAAAAGAATAGGGTTTATTATCTCTTTCCAGGAATGGTCGAGTATGATACAGAAATTGAGAATTTCGTGTAAGACCATGTATCTAAAGTTCTCAATGGGGTTAACCGTTGGCCGTAAAAAGGCGAAAAAAAGAAGTCGTTTGGCGTTAAAATTAACAAATTTTAACCGTTAGTTATAAAAAGTTATGTTGGTATGTTAGAGACCCTCTATCTATTGAGGTGTTGACGAGGGTATGATCTGAACGAGTACTCGAGTTCTTTGTCAGTTGAAAATATTTAATTTTATGTTTGCCATGTATCCTTTTTTCTAAAATGAACCCTGCAAATTAAACTCAGTCGCTACACGGGTTACTGTTTTTTACATGCAGGGAAGAAGAGCAACTTGTCTTGTAAATTTTAACTGCAACTCGTTGCTTTTCTTTTTCTTTTGCCGTAGTCATGCAAACAAAATAAGAATATGCTGGAAATGTGAAATTTCCAGAAATGGGTATGCACAGAAAATGAATAGATATAAAATAGTGTTTCGTTTAATAAATAGGCGTTGCCTCGTGTTGACAGATTTATTCGATGACAAGAATCGTGATTGACATTAATTCAATGGATTGATTTAAAAGCGTTAGATTATTATGTTTTAAGTCAGTTTTTCAGCAGAATCGAAGTGAGAAAGAAGTTATTTTGTTATCGTTTTTCTGTCTCTAAATCCGCTTACCCAGAGAATCTGCTAATCCGTAAAGTGAGACTGTTGTAACGACCCGCCACAGAAGTAAGTTTATATTGAAGTTTTTTAATTAAGTTACAAGATAAAGACTTGATTTGTGTTTGTTCTAATTGCGAATTATAAATGTATTTCTTTTAGATCGAATAATTATTAAAGCGTGGCTTAATATTATACGGTTTGTGGTGGTCATTTGATCTAACCAGTTCCGAGTAAGGAAACAATAGATCATAAAAGTGGGAAATGTAAAAATGAATAAACTGTACACAAACGGAAAAGCAATTAATTTCCTGGTTTGACGGATGCTTGAACAACGGATAGACAGAATGAATAACGACTTGAAGAAGTAAATTAATGAATTACTGACTGAACGCATAAACGAGTAATGTGGGTAGATTGTGGAAGAAACGAAAGGATAAACGAACTAACGTACCAACGAAAGAACGAACACAAGAAACGAACGAACACATGAATGAACGTGCCAACGAAAGAACGAACACACGAACGAACGAACGAACGAAAAAACGAAGAACAGACAAACAGATGAACGCATGAGGATTTCTGAATTTAGTATTTCTTAAAGAAAATGTTATCTCAATAGTATATTAGAATATGCCCTTTGCAGCTAGAGGTCACGTACTTGGATACCGGGTAGCAACGCGAATTGCAGAGCAAGCGTTCCAATACGGAATAGGAAGTTCACAAGAGGTCACGCACGTGTACTTGTAAAACAATATTTTGTACGGATGAAAGCTTGTACTGGTATTTCCGTTTCCACAAAGCAAGTAAAGTGTAGAAGTTTTAGTTTGGTATGATTTTAAAGTTGGAATAGGTTTCTTTGCGGCGAAATCGCGAATACACTGGTAGCGCCAACCCGTTCGATGGCCAATGTAGTGTATTGAGAACACATTAAAAGTACTTGCACCAATTTTTGTAATATCACTGTGGGATTACTCAATGATATAACAGTACTTTAATCAAGTAACATGATTGTACCAGAGGTGGATCGATGAATAAAAACAGAATATAGAAAACAATTCAAGAGTGAGTTTGTCATCTAAATGAATACACAACAGCTAACAAACATGGCGACTACACAAGGTATATACTTTCAAACTCATCTTCCTTTTTTTTTATCTGTAATATCAGGACTTCCTAAAGCTCTGGAAGAAAATTCTGCAACATAAACGAGACTTGCGTGGGATTTAACGGCATTTCATGGTCGATCAGTAGAGATATTTTTCGAGTGATTGCGTGCACAAACGTATGTTTCGTGCTTAGTTTACATCGCTAAAGACATTTGTAAGACTAATATTACTCCTTTCAACCGTAAAAAATTAGTTGAAGAAGAGTCTCAAGATCCATCGGTTTTCCCAACACTGACCTTTGATGATGTCAGTTTGCTTGAACAATTAGCAACAAGTCATCTTTGATTCCCTAGAAGACTGACCACTGAAGTGTCACTCAAAAGTACGGGAACAGACAATTACACAGAGCTTAAGTGACACGGACATCTTCTCAGAAAGAAAAGGATCACTACTAGTAAGTTTGGAGTTCTTGCTCGTCATGTAGCCAGTTTTGATTCTCTGGTAACCTAGCTAAACCCCAGCAGATATGTACAAAGAGCACACATGGGAAGGGGAGTGGAACTTAAACCTCATACAGCTATGGTTTATGCCAATACTGCAAAGGGAACCAGGGAGAGTTAATCTCTTCCCACCAGGATTGATCATCCATCCTGATTGCCCATGGTTAGGGTGCAGCCCAGATGGAAAAGTGTATGATTAGATGCTGTAAACAATGGTCAAAACCCCTTTGGTTTGCTAGAAATTAAAGTTGTAAAAGAAGGGGAGAAATCATTTGATAATGTTAGGTATCTTACCAGGGATAATACCACAAACCAGTATTTGTGAAAGAAAACTGATATCTACTATTATCAAGTTTAATGTCCACTGGGCCTCACTGGATTAGACTGGTGTGATTTCGTTAGTTACATAGATGATAACTTGTTTTTTTGCAAAAGAATTGTTTTTGATTCAATATTTTTCCAGTAAAATGAAGACAAGGTGGACAGTTTTTTCTTTTGTCATTGATACACTGACTGTTCTTCAACACATACTATGGTCAATTACAGAAACGTGATAATGCATGTTATACAGAGGATATACAATATTAGAATGTAATATTTCCTGCATATCATAATTATAATTTGTGAAGTCAATTTAGCTTTTGCATAAAAACTGGTAAATTGCAAGCTTACATTCTAGCAATAAACCAAGTTGACTCAGTAGAATGACACATGAAGATATGTTGAACTTAGTATCAGTACTGTTACACTTTGAACTATTATGTAAAATGGGTAGTCATAGACCTCTATGAAGTGTCATGTAATTCTTTTTATTGACACTTTTCGCTGTTTTTTTTAAACTACAACATATATTTAGCTTATTCATTTTGCTTGTCACTATCAGCTAAAATCAGTGGTCCTTCAAAATTTGTAAGAAGACAGGCTACAGAAAATAATTGATTAACTGAACCTAAGTAGATAAGGAGCATCTGAATCAAAAAAGTCATATTCTTTGACCCTTCTAAAAGCCCGTTCAACCACAGGCGGCTCAAGCTCCCGTACCGAGAAAAAGCCAACGATTAATTCATGAACGCGTCACGCGTTGTATGACTTGGTGTTAAGTTACGAGAGGAACCGTTGGAAATTTGAACACGTTATAAGGAATAGTATGGGGAACGAAATATGGTCGATTTACAACGATAAATATTTCGAAATATGAATATTTTACACGCAAAATCAATAACACTTACTCACATCCTGTGTGTCCGTCGTAGTTTCAGGCGATTTCTTCCGTTTTAGACTTGCTTTACCGTCACTGTTGTTCCTTTGACAGGAATAACAGTGATGGTAAAGCAAGCTTAAAACAGTAGAAATCGCCGGAAACTACATACCCAATAAAATTATTTTGAATCTTTATCTGTGCCAAATCTCTCCAGCCCAAAATTATTGAGTGCCAATTGTTCAGCGGCTTGCCTTTTTATTTTTTCAATCTCTCTTACAGCTTGAGTTTTCACTACTTTTACTTCCTCTTCAAGTACTTTAGTTTCATCTCTAATTTCCTGTCGCTGTTCCTGCAAAGCCAGTAGCTGTGCCTTGATGGACTGAATTTCTGATTGTATGCTGTCTATGGGTGGCCTTACTTCTGATTGACTTTCATGCTCATCATCACTCTTATCTGCTTGGGTATCTCTGCGAAGAGAAGAGTAAAATAATGTTATTGAAATATTTTCAGATTACCATGAGTACAATTTATTAATTAATGCACTGAATTTTCATAAGGAATCAATTTTACTAAAATGGCATCACTGAAATATTCACGTTTGATCATCGACACCTTTCCACTCGAATGTGTCCGTTATGGGCAAATGAATTTCCGTAAAATTGTCCTGCGACGAGGCGATTCCCACACTACCCAGTATGAAGAGTGTGATCTCCTGAAAAAGATTTACATGCAGAAAACCACGCCAAAAGAACTTGACCCCTTTTCATTTGATACGGGAGATGACCTTCAAAACAGGTTTATTGGATTTTGATCAACCAAACGTCATAGGCTGCGTGACAAACTCGAATGACAGCATTATAGAGGTAAGCGGTTGCTGCCAATTCTAATTCAGATGTGGACGCGACTCACTAGAGCGAAAGATGTTGTCACATAGTGTAACGTGGTGTGTTTTTTCGCTATTTTAACCGACTTTCCGTGGCCTTTAAGCAAGATGATGGAAGAAGAGGACTCGTATGGCTTTGAGCAAACTCTGGTAAGTAGTATTGCTCTACCCGTAATGAGTTCACTCACATTGTGAACAACTTTGTATCTAGACGCGAATGGTGTGTGGATCTGCTGCGGCAAAGTATTTCACCATCGTAACTTGAATGAGCATTGCTACGTGTAACTTACGCTTTCGTGATTGTAATTTTTAATATTGTTACTCGCTGTGATTTATTCTTGAAGGAAAATTAAACCATTGAGCATCAGACACAAACAGATATATGTTTTAACACATTCAAAGCATTTTGCCCTCGTTGGTTACAATGTTATCCGAAAGGAAAGATATCGTTTTCAGTGTTTCTCACTTCTCAACAGGAATCATTTTTATTCAAGCATACATCGACTCAGAGTTATGATTACCTTTAAGCTCCTGCGAAATATATCTGCAACTGTTATGCTTTTTAAAGTGACTATGAAGAGATTTAGGCTAATGCTTAAGCTTGGATGTTTATACAACTTTGAAAATATAAACATCACTTTCTTTCCGCAAGATCAATGATATTAATTCTAATGTTAAAGTTATTCATTTTTTCTTGATATTGTCAACGATCCTTCGTAAACTGTCGAGTTAAGATTGTTAGGAAATCAATCCTTATTTTATGACGTGTTGATTTTATTAAGTGAGCTGCTTGTACAATTATTTCTTCCACTATCGGTATTTATGACAATAGGATCAAGCCAAACAGCTGGCAATTTTCCCATAAAAAATATCTGTCACGTTTAATCAGCTGTGATTTTAATTCGTTCACCTGAGGAATCAAATGTGTTCAAATGTGTTGGTCGTTCGCAGTGTTATTTTCTAATATAAGAGGTGTAAAAACATGTCATCAGATACATTTACCACCGTATTTCTCAGTCGTAGAGCAGAGTATGATAACATTAAAGGTCGCTCAATGACCATCATATATCACTACATGTCATTCCAGTTTAAGAACCAAAATATTGTATTTTTTGTGAATGAGAGATGCCATAAGATAATGAATTTACATTAGCATTCCTTTCAAATGATCTTCTTGGTAAGAATTGTATTTTGTCTCGCTAATGCACGGCTTCCAACTAGACAGTAAACAATGATAGATCTTGACAAGATCTTTTGCATGCCATGCAATTTTTACCCTGTGTCTTAAAGCAGTCAGCTATGGCAAAATGTCTGGCAGTCAGAAATTTTTACAGAATTTCCACTAAAAGGTTCTTTCAAATTTCTTAAGAGCATCAATGTTTGTTTAGAATGTCAAGCGATTCCAAAAGTTACTGCAGGATTTAAGACAACAAATCTTTCTGTGCTTTTACTTTCCATAAAATGGATGTTAAATGAAAAAACATTTTTGATCTAGTGATATATGGTATCCACAAGCTTGGAACATTTGTCCACTAAAAAAACCATGGTAATTTTTGGAAGTGCTTGGCATTTCTACACAAACATCAAACATTCTCATTAGCTTTGCATGAGGTATTTTGTGGGAATACTGTCAATATTTCTGAGTGTTGGGTACTGTTTCAAATGGATTAAATGCCCTGCAGTCTATGGAAATTCTGTGAAAATTTATGACCTGAGGGCATTTAGTCCATTTAGACTGTGAGTGGCTGCCATGTATTTAGACACAGCTTCATTTTAAATCTAAGCAAACAAGCATTCATAAAGGACTTTTGTGCCATATTCTGCAGACCAGTCTATTATCTTTTCCAAAACAGATGTTGACCTTACTGAAGAATGACATGCCATAGTCTAGCTGACTATGCTTTGTAAAAAAATGGAGTTTACATTGTAAAATAGCTAGGTATAAGAAAATATTTTTTATCTAGCAATTATATGGCTTTGAAGATTTGTCCTTCAAAATCCATGGTAATTACTTTGCTTTTCTAAACAATCATCAAACCAACATAAGGTTTGCATGAAGTATTTTGTGGAAATTCAGTGAATTGACACATTTTCTTGTAAATTACATGAAGTTACAATAATTTGGTGTTAGATTAAGATGACAACTTCTACCTGATGTGTTTGTGTATTCTCATTACCTGTTTGCTGGATTATGTATGAAGATTACAGGGAGAATTCATATGTTAATCACTTCTGGAAGTTAATAGAGATAATAGTGTGTGAAGAAGGATCAAGGATATATAAGGATGGAGAGGATTAACCCTTTAACTCCCAAGGTCTGATTGTTAATTCTCCCCTCTATTTGCTACAGATTTACTTGTAAATTAGTTATGAGATTTTGGTGTTAGATCAAGTTAACAACATCTACCTGATAAGTTTGAATATTCTCATCACCTGTTTACTGGATAATGTAAGGATATTATCGGGAGAAGTTTCATGTTGATCACTTCTGGGAGTTAAGGGGTTAAGTGGGATTGCAAACAATTTGTGCAACAATTTTCAAGATGCACAGATTGTGTTGCTGTTCTTTTAAAGCATATTCTGTCATATTTACTCACTGTTTGTTATTCTCAATATCTAGATGTATGGTCGTTTTACGACCACACAACTTCAGAAATATGCTAAAGAACAAGGTGCACGGCTACGAAGAGAACAGCAGCAAAGGAGAGGAGAACAACAAGAAGCAGATGATGACTTTAGAACTTATGACAGTTCGTGGCTTGGATCAGTGAAAAGTGAGTAAACTTGAAGCTGGAACTATTATATTTTGGAAATAATGTTCAAGCTTGAAGGATAGAACATGTATGTGATATGCTGATTTACAGCGATACTTGACAAGCCAGTCTCATGCTATGATGAAGTGAATTTTTGTGAAGATCTTTGAAAACAAATTTTTTTGTTCTCCCAACAAGTTGGGCTGAGTGTGTGTGATGATTGCATTTAATTCATAAAATAAGGTTTTGGATACTCTACAACCAACGAGGTTGCAGCAACTTTTTGCCTAATTTGTCCATCAAAATTACAGCAACTTCTTAACAGACCTTAAAGAAATTTTTGTCACTTGAGTGCAATCACAGTTTAGTATAAGTCTAGGAGAGTGGTTGTTCAGGTTTGTGCCCCTATTACTGGACAAATTGTGTTATAACATTTGCTTAGACATCCAACTTTGAGTGAAGACCAACAAAACTAGTCTCAGCACCCCCATTACCCATTGAAAGGGGTAATGCTCAAAACATCAGCTGTGAAATTCTTAATGGCTTCCAATTTACATTATCAACTCAGTTGATAATACCAGACAATCTTGTTCTTTTAGAACTTTTCTTTAGAAACTTACCCCCTTTATGGTTTGGAGCATAGATGCATTGGGATATACATAGTCTTTGAACATTTTGAAAGTGCCTATTTATTTTAAATTACACTTAGAATCAGTTAATCCCTTGTTGATATTCACCTTTCTGCCTGTACTTTCAACTTTCATTATTAAATTTGAACTTTACACTCCATGTGGAATTAATTAACACTCTTTCAGCCAATGGACATGCTGAAATTTTTTGCATCTTTATTTATCAGGCAGTTAAATGAACTCTCTTTGATAGAAGCAACAAAATAGATATCAAACCTTAAATTGTCCTTCATTCTGTTATTTTTTAAATTTTTTTTTAATTGTAGCTCAATTGCTCTGAACCTGTTCTAGGGGCAGTTGTGTCTTAACTTTAGTGAATAAAGAGAGCTTTTGATAGAGTATTTTTAACCCTTTAACTCCCTCAAGTGATCAACTTGTAACTTTTGCCTAAAATATCCCTACAAAGATCCCAACATTAAGGAACAAATTGTTACCTGGATCTAACACCAAATTTTTGTAACTTATTTACAAGGTAATGTGTAGCAGCTAGGGGGGAAATTACCAATTAGAGGGTTGACCCTTCAATTTCCAAATGTGTCATGGTCAGCTTAAGTGTATATAAAATGTTTTCCTTCCTCTTTCTATGATGAAAAAACCATTACATCTAAGGAAACTACAAAACACAAAATTGAGATGATAGAAAATACTTAACTCTTTAATCCCCAAGATCTGATTGTTAATTCTCCCCTTAACTGTGACACATTTCATCAAAAATTATTTATAAGAATTTGTTGTGGAATCAAGATCACAATTACCCAACAATTTTGAGTATTCTCATTACCTGTTTGCTGTGTCATGTTAGATGTTAAAGGGAGAAGTTACTTGTTAATCAATTGCCGGAGTTAAAGAGTTCAACAAACTCAATTATGACTTCAATTTATCAGTGAAAATATGTTTTTCTCTTCAAAGCAATAGGTTCTATGTTGTCATTTATTATTCTCTCAGTTAATTTATCAAAGATTCTACAGTGCAATAATTTATTATACATTGCAGTTTAAATCATGTTTTTTTTTTATTGCTGGGGAAATGAATGACATTATTCTATGAAGAGGGAGAGGATAGGTGTTACAAACCTGAATTTTTCTTAGCCTTTATGTCATTTTACAAATGTATGGCCAAAATAGATTAATGGACCATAAGTGGTACAAGTTCCTGGAGAAACAGGAAAATTGATTCATTGTGTCAAAGGAATCAACGGGTAGAATCACACTGCCTTTCGAGGTTTTTTTTTTTTTTTCATTAAAAAAAATTACTCTATGTTAGCATGTAGAGTGGTATGTTGCTTGCACCAGTCAGATTGCTGCATTAAGGTAGGGTTTGAGTCTGGCACCAGTCATATCACAGCATTCGGATATCGTGCACTAATCACAGCATTTGGGTATTGGTTTCTTTTAAATGATGTCATGGAATCAGAGGGCTGTGCACAATGACATTAACCAAAAATTTGGGCTCATTTGATAAGCATTATGATTGGGGCCTTTGCAAGAGCCTTATAAAGTGAAGTCAAGATTTAACAAGATATGAAAGATGTGCATTTATTTTTGTATCATTTTTAAGTTAAAGTGTGTTTTTCCACTTCTTTTTCTCACAATGCACACACCAAAAAACTTGCATGTGATTGCATACTATGAAAAAAACATCCAAAGTCTAATCAGAACATAGCCAATCATTGCACTACATGTCAACTTAAGGCAATTTTTCATGTGCTTAAATTGTACTCTACCAATCAAATTCCATTTTGCCTTAATAGACTTCCCTTCATCACATGCAATTTCCTTGTAAACAACCTGCATTTTATGATGTATTCTAAATGCATTATCCAACACCACTGAAAAATTTCATATCAAACTTTATACTACTGATAGTGAATTTTCCACACAATTCTCTAGGGTTTTGACTTTTTCTATGAACAAAATCAGCTTTTAGCTACCTTGGACTTAACCCAATCACATGTCAATTCCTTGTAAACAACCTGCAAATTAACAACCAAACAAGGAACCTTCTTTGAAATATTATCCTTTTCTTCACTCATTTGAGATCACAATTAGTCTTTGCTTGGGTTCTGATTGAGATACAATAGAGTTTCAGTTTGTTTTTTGAGGTAAAATTATGTGGAAATATATTTTTTAGGCAACTAACTGAAGATAAATTATATTGATTTTCTCTCTGTTAGGGGAACAGTAGTAAATGTAGTCCCTTTCAAAATCGTTATTTGGTCTTGTCATGCGATGCTCTCTTTCTCTCTACAATGGGGAATAGAAGGCATTGTGTAACAAGACCAAACAATAGCTGCAGAGACAACAGTACGCATGGCACAGATGCATTTTATTTTTGCTTAGAAGTAGTTAGACAATAGAAACAACAGATCACAAAATATCTGGGTGAGTTCAGATAAATCAGGTTTTTTTTTTCTTTCCTGTAAGTTGTAGTACATGCAATACTTTTGTTCTTTTGAAAGTTTTGCTCCTTTTCTGCTACAAAAGTGAAAACATTAGGTACACAGTGTCACATCTCAACCCAACCACCAAAAAAAATAAATCTTACTTGCTACATGTTCTTTAAATGGTTTTAAATTGGTAACAACATAGAAGGAAATTCTATGTTCCTTTTCCAGTTATTTCACTGCTGAAAGGTATTTTTTGATCCAGCTGATTCACCCTATGTCTGATCTTAAGGGAAAAAGTTAAATTATTTCCTAAGGATTCTTGATGTTCTTATATGCACGATTAAATGCTTCTTGCTCTGAATGCACAGTTGGGAATGTGGGTACATGTACCTTGTTACATTACATTTTGCAACGCTTTTATTTGTCAAATGTTGTAATGAAGTGAAAAACCATAAAAAATTAAGTGAACAGGAAATCACTGTGAACATAGCTTTACATGTGTGCAAAATTTATGTGAATGAATGAGAGAAAGCAGGAATTTGTGTGACTTTACTTTAAAAGAACTATCTCTGTGTGTAAATCCATATCAAGACATTAACTTAAGACAAATAGCTTGTACAAGGCAAAACGATGTTAATAATTTATTTGTGTAACAAATTTTCTATATCTCTAAAAAACTAAAATCTCTGGGCCCTGGTTGTTCAAAGGGAGGACATCACCAGCCGACAGATAAATTGCCATCCAGCAGATGAGTGTTAACAAAGCAAACAGAACTGTGTCATCCACCAGAAAGAAATTTATCCACCCTCCAAACAACTGGTGCATGGATGATAAATGCTTTTTAATTATCTCTTCTTCTATGTGTGTGAATGTTAGCTATGCTTATGATAAGAATGATGTGAAATAGTTAAAAACAAATTTGTGATGTGGCGTCATGTCACATCTATTTAAGCCCCTCTTCAATTTATCATATACTTCACTTTTATACATACTGTCTTACAGTTATAGAGTCTAGTACATTATCCTTATTTAATGTTTATATTTAAAAGAACCTGATACATCTCAGTTGGGCAGTAATGAACTGAAATGACAGCACATTTTACATAAAGTTCAAAAAGTCAGTCCTAAGAAATGTAACTAAGAGTGAAAGTTTAACTGCTCTGTTGCCATCTCGTCTTGATCTTTCCATAGATGTTCACCGAGCATGAGTCAATACTGTTGAACCGACAGTTGATTGTGAAAAGAAAAACAATATCATGTATTGCCTGGGAGATGTATTGCTAGTAAACCGGTGACCATAATGAGATAACAGTATTTGAACAGTTATACATTTCTGATATTTTCTACATCATTAAGCAGATTTTTTTTTTTTAATGTTCTGCAAGATGGTTGCTAATTGGAGAGAGTCACCAGCTAAGGTTGGATTATATTTGTGCAATACAAGTGTGTACAGTATTCTGTAACACATTAATTTGGTCCTTCAACATTTCTTGAACTCTGAAGACCTGCCATGAAGAAATATGTATAGCATTTTGAAAGGCAAAGCCACAGGAGCACAGAAAATCCAAATATAATAACAAAAGGAAGAAATACTATCCACAAGATGACAATAAGAATAGCACAAGGGATAGATTTTCCTTTTGGGGAGTACCACATGTCTGGTCCACATATTCCTTTTGATTCTTCCTTGGCATCTTCATATTTAAAATCTTCTTGTCTCTGAGTGAAAGACAAAAGAATATGGAATATTAATGTAAGTGTCTTTTTTTCATTGGACATGTGGTAGGATAATGGTTGGTGTTTGTGACTCCTGACTTGAGAGGTATAGATTTTGGCCTTGCGTACATCATCCAAAACACCCTGTGCTGTCAGAGCCTCTCCATCTTGAAATGTAAATGGGAGCAATAAACTTCATGGGCAGTCCAAACATTTCTTTTTTTGGAGGGGGGGGGGGTGTTACATGTGATAAACTAGCATCCTATTCCAGGGGAATAGCAGTATTGAACATCTGTAGTCCTTTAAAACTACAGAAACTAGGATGAGTCAATTGGCTTCTACACAGAATTTCCCTTGGTTTCCCTAACTATATACTCTATGCATAAGTGCCCTCAAGACATAAATATCAAGTTCACTTCAAACACTTGTGGAGTAAGTTTATTTATAATTTGAGGCATGCAGACCTGCTAAGTAGGTTTTACTGCCCTGTCAAATTTTGTAACGTTGTGCCTAGTTTATCTCATATGAGTCGAAAAATGAGTCACAAATGGTCATAAATTTGAAAGCAGGCTAAACTGCAGAATACTCTGCCACTCAATTGCATGTTATTGATTAAGAAAAGCGTCTACTGTGTTATGCCTTGTTCTTCAAAGCCTCCCAACACATGTAAATGAGCTGGACCAAAGTGACAGGGTATTCTGTCTTTGCTCGAAGCAGTGATTCTCTTTCGGTGAAAAACGGAAAACTTAACGAAGAAGCTAAAAAGTTGAGTCTATTCCTTGGCCCACAGTCCATTCCAGTTGTTTACATCTCGAAAGAGAGGCTAAGTCGCTGAGGATTAACAACAACCCGCGCCCGAAAATGCCCTCGATTGAAACGTTTCGAAGTATTTACGAGTTGCCATTTTTATATCATTCGAGAGGCTTAACGGGAAATGTTGAATTGTCTCCGTGAACACTGTAGACATTCCACCGCATGAACACAACTCGCGTGACATGGATTGATTTCGTTGCCATTTTGATCCGAACAAGTAAAGGCGACGGGAATTCGCTGAAAGCTGATTCAAGGTGTATGCTTCTATGCAAATAAGAGGCATTTTAATACGATCGGTTGCGAGAAAATCGACTGAAACCGTGATAAAACCGTGCAGTTACGAAAGATTCTGAACTCATCGTAGTGGAAAGTACATTGTCGATCGATTGTGCATTGTCGGTGTGTCTGATCACAGTATTCACAGCTTTATGTCCTATTTCAGGCATTCGTTTTAAATGAAAATTGATAAAATTTACTTTACATGTTACTAATTCTTGAAATGACTGAATCAGCGATAGGCAACTAACTAGTAAGAACGATACAACTGTCGATGAAAGAGAACTTTGAAAATCCCAGTCGTAGGTGTGGTGATAGCGACCTTCAAAATAATCACGGAAACCCAGCTTGCGTTTTCGTCTGCAGAATTATTTTGTTTGTCGTCCACTTTCACTTACTTCAGCATCAGAGGTGGCAGCCATGCTTGTGGAGAGAAACCAGCTAAAAACTCAAAGCGTCGGCTAGGCGGTTTTCAAGACCTGTTCACGTACGAACTTGTTTCATAAAAAGGTCATGTAGATTTTGATCTCCTTATGCTCTCGTCATATCTAAATATACGCATTGTGATTGGTCGAAACGTGAAACCCTAATGTAAGCGTGAAAAATACTGAAAAACGTTCAGTGTAGTTTGAAGAAGCAAAATATGCCAAACAGAAAGAGGATAAAGGAAATAAATTATTTTAAATTTGAAAAACTGCAAGGCTCATTGTTGTTCTTTATTTTTAAAAAATGCTATCTTTGCCATTTTTCATCAGTCTGTTCTTCAAGTCATCTCCCCTTAGCAAGGCCTGATGGCACAGGCTAAATGAAATTCACACTTTCATTTTACTACTTTGTAATGAATTATAACTTCTGTCAATAATTACAGTTAGTATGTTTGGAAATTATTTTTGAATTGATCTTGCACAAGAATCTTTGGAAGCTCAGTGAAATCAACCTTGCTCTTCTACTTAACAATACAGCGCCATGAAGGTTATATTAAAGTTAAAGTAAACACTTATGGTTAGTGAAAGTTTTTTTCCAGGGTTGAAAAAGTACCTTTAAATTATTTGTCAAAGACTTGGATTATAAACTTTCTAGTTGATTTCTTGCTGGTAAAAATATTCACAAATACTTTTGATAAAGTTGGGTGGATGCTGTTTACCTTAAAGAATAAAATGCATTGTAGAAAATTTTGATTAGAGACTGTATGCTTTTTGACTTGAAGTTAATGAATAAAATTCCCATTTTACACACAAGACATGCATTCCCAGGTTTTGTATTATGCAAATTACATGTATGATATACAAAACTCCTGTTGAAAAGACTCTGCACTGGCATAATTTGTTTGAGCATCACTAAGTTTTGGCACTTCTTTGGTGTACTTTTGTTTAATTGATGGCACCAAAGATAAATGCTTATCCTTTAATTTGTATCAAAATGAGTTGATTTGTATGAAATTGACGTTCTTCATACATCAAACTGACTCTGTCAATGTAAGGAATCAACTTTAGTTTGTGTTGAGTCAAGTTGTATGGAATCCACTTTCAGTCTGTATTGAACCAAACCAACTCCCTTGATTAGAAGTTGATCAAGTTCTGCTGATACAATCACTAAACATTTTGTAACATGTTAGCAATCGAACCTTACGCATTGTTGAAATAACCTAAGATGTACATCAACTGGTTGTTAAACAACTCAAAGACAAAATGACTTGCAAGCAAAAGGACAGTTTCCTGTAGAGTATTACATACTGTATAGAGAATATGCATACTAATGTTAGGGTACACAGGGATTAACCACTTCCCCAAACTGATTGTTTTGTTAAAAATGGTTTTATGTTGTTGCAGGGTTTGTTGAGAGGTTGCGACCTTGCTGGAGTCGTTTGGGAAGTGACTGGGTGTTTCTTCTGGTCCTTGGAATTGTCATGGCACTAATAAGCTTTGTGTTGGACTTAGCCATTGATAAGTGCCAGACAGGTGTGTTGAGATACGTTAGTTTTTATCTTTTGTGTATTTTGTCTTGTTTGTTTGTTTTTTTGTTTTGGCTCTCTAGATGGCAGGTTTTTAAAACAGGGGTTATGTATTGTCGTATCTTTAAGGATGTGTTCATTATGGGAAAAGATTGCCACAATTGCATGACTGTATGTTAACTATGAATATTAATGTTGTGAAATGTATCTAAGTGATGTGAATATTGATTAACATGTGTTGTAAGTTGTGACCAAATAACTGGACTACTGATAGACTTAACAGGTTAGAGATGAGGAGTGTGAGATAGGGGGTAAAAAAAGCTTTTGATAAGGGGTGGGGCTAAGCAGGGAGTGGATATAGATGAAAAGTCAGAGCCAGTAATAAAGGTTAAGGTGTAAGGGTGCTAGGTGAGAGAAGAGGGCAAGGGATAAGCTGCTTGAGTTGGAGTTAATAGGCTTGGGATAAGGGCTGGAGATAGCAGATGAAGGGGTAGGTATCAGTGATGGGGCTGCAGTGTGAGGGATAGAGATTAGGGATAGGATTAAAGAGTGAGACCTAGGGTGAGAGATAGCAGAAGAGGTGGGAAGGTGACAGGGCAGGTTGAAGTGCTGTAGGTGAGAGGTAAGAGATGAGATGTAGAGGTAAAGGTTGAGGGCCAGCAAAGTGATTCCAGGGGCACAAGGTTGGAATAAGTGAGAAATGAGAGGAGAAGGGTAGAGATAAAGGATAGTGTTAAAGAGGTTGGTCTTCAGAGTAGAGATAAGATGGGAGACTGGGTATGACCACAAATAAATGAAGCAAAAGGGTCCATAGAAACTTACATGCTCCCTTTCTTCATGGTCTGTAAATGTCTCTGAAATCTTGTGGTAGTATATTGTAATTATGAATCAATATTCATTCATTTGATGCTCTAACTTTTCAGCTCATATTTGGCTTTACAATTTACCAAACAACACCTTCCTTCAGTATATTGTGTGGACATCTTTTCCACTATGCCTAGTTACCTTTTCTGTCGGATTTACTCATCTAGTTTCTCCTCATGCCATAGGTATGTTCTTAAACTCTGTAAACCAATCATACTAGTTAACTTAGTTGTACTTTAACATGTAACTTGAAGTGATTTTCAACTTAGTTATAAATGTAGTCAATTTGTTTATAATTAAAATTAAGGGCTGGTTATTATAGCAAAGTTTAACCCCTATTAATCCAAACTTTACTCTAAAGAATCTTAGATCAAGCAGAAAAGATCGCTCAAACATTTTTTCTGGAACTGTCAAAAGGGAATCTATAAAAGAAATGTCTAATTACTTCAAAAACCCCACCTATGAGGAACTTTTGTAGTCCATTGATTGGCAAAAACCACAGCCTAAATTAGACCTTGTTTTAATAACTGTGTGAACATGTTTGAGCTGTGAAATGATTGGCATTCTCCAAAGTGATTGAAAATTTTGTTATTGTTTTAGTTCATTCACTGTATACTTGCCTAACCAAACTACAGCTTTGTTTAAGCTACACACTTTCAGGCAAAAGTTAATTTTTCAAGCTTCACTTCAGTGGGTCATGTGTTCCCTGCAAAGGAATCTGAACACTTACACATGTAATATACCATAATATGTTTATCAAATAAATCATAATTTGACTGTAGATCAATTTGATTCATTGCGGAATGTCAATACAGTAACTATAAAATTAGTATTAAAAGTTAATAAAGTATAGTTATTTATCAACTCTTGATTTTTTGGCAGAAACATATATTTATCAATTTTTTTATACCCTTGTATCTCTGTAGGTTCAGGCATTCCTGAGATGAAGGTTATTTTAAGGGGAACAGTTTTGAAACGTTACTTGTCACTAAGAACATTGATTGCAAAAGTGGTATGTTAATGGACAGGTTTACTTTGATTTATAACCTGATAGTTTGATGTCTATTTGTCACTGTTGTTTATTTCTGTCAGGACTATTGCATACATAAAAGGGCCTTGTAAAACTTTTCAGAAGGCCATTTGTGTGTACCCTTCAAAACTATCCAATAGAGCTGAAAGAGATTAATCCTAATTGAACCCTAAGATTGATTAGCATCTAATTTCTTATTTCATTACTTCAGCCATGAATCACACATTAAGGTCAGGAGAAGGAAGGAAATGGTCACAAACTGAGGAAGCTCTTGATTAAAAAACAAATTCTCCCTGTCAGCATCTTGAGGAATGTATAGAGAACAGTATATATTATGTAGAATATGCTGACTGATTTTAGGGTGTATTTAAGGGTTAAAATACATCACAACATAGTATTGATTCTGAACTAATTAACAAAAATCTGGGAAAAAGAAATTTTTAAAATAGCTGGCATATTAAAATTTTATAATGAAGCTAGCTAGGCTTATTTATTAAAATCATGCAAGCTGGAATGTAGCTTCTTTAGGACTAGTTATCATGCTTAAGAAGATAGTTGTGAAAAGTTGCTATTTTGCCTTGTCACAACTAATGTCACATGACCTGGTGTGCATGATTCAGAATAATACACTTTCATTTGTCTCTTGTCTTGTATAGGTTGGTCTTCTTACTGCTCTTGGAAGTAGTATTCCCATTGGAAAAGAAGTGAGTGTTGGTTTTCTGCGATGAGCTGAAGGAAGGGAGAGATAAGAAATTTGACTTCTTCTCTGGTTGTGGAGCTTGTTGCTTAAAAATGTTTGCTTTTCACTTTTTTATCAACAGGGTCCTTTTGTACACATAGCAAGTATGGTGGCACGATCTATGGGAAAATTTGTGGCATCATTTAAAGGCATATACACCGTAAGGTTTTTGTTTTCCCCAGTATTGGCCAGAAGGCAATATTTCAATGCTGAAAGTGTGGTTTATTGAAGGAAAATGGTGTTACTTAATTTGTAGAATGAGTCGAGAAATACAGAGATGTTAGCGGCAGCATGTGCTGTTGGTGTTTCAAGCTGTTTTGGTTCTCCCATTGGAGGTACACATCGACTACTTATTCATGTATTGTTTAATATATAGCTGCACCAGTTTTGTCTTAAATCTCTTCTCTTGCATGTACTGGGATGCATTTAAGGGTTTCTGCAGCTGTGTCTAATAATGGTTGCAGAGTGACTGGAAAATATTTTGTCCATTTTTTAAAGCGAACAGGAACATTTTGTTGCATTCTCCTTGTGAGATGTTGTTTTCAAATATATCTACTGTAGCATCCATAGGGCCTGAATCACCCATTTTACCCAATGTGTGGTTTTATTCTATCAAAAAACTAAAAAACCTGGTAGTGATGTTTCTCAATGGATAACTGTTAATTGTATTTCTGGTTAGTTTTCTTTGAATTGAATTTTGCTCTTTCTTTCTAGGGGTACTATTCAGTATTGAGGTTACTGCTACTTACTTTGCTGTTCGAAATTATTGGCGTGGCTTTTTTGCTGCTGTCTGTGGAGCTCTTATGTTCCGTCTACTAGCTGTATTTGATAAAGAAGAAGGTATGACCATTTTGAGCAACCACATACAAGTTGCTGTTGATAGAAACAACTTCTTTTTGCCTTGAACACCTGAACACATTAAAACTCTGACCTCTTTCTTCACTAGAAACTGTCACTGCTCTCTTCAAGACTAATTTTAGGCTGGACTTTCCATTTGATGTGGAAGAGTTCATTGCATTTGCATCAATAGGGTAAGAACATCAGTTATGTAATTTTATATCTTTTTTCTTACCACATTTTATAGTCATCTGTGATTTATTACTGAACAGATAGACTGCAACACATAATCTATTCATTTATTTAACATTGTAACAAAGCTGCAAAAACTTTTCCTTTTTAGGTTGTTTTGTGGCTTTGGAGGAGCCTTGTTTGTCTTTACACACAGAAAACTTGTCGACATTCACAGAACTCACAAACACACCAAGGTGGCAAAATTTCTTGCTAGAAAGTAAGTTTTCTATCTGCATGTCTTGAGTATTTTAGTGTGGATAGCTCTTTCTCTCCCAATATCTAACCTTTTGCACCCTTAAATCATTATGGATTGCATAGTCTCCATACCATTCTCTATACATTTCCTAAGATGCTGACAAGGAGAATTTGTCCAATGATCAACAGCTCTTCAGTTGGTGATTATTTTGACTGCTATCCTTGTGATCTTAATGATTGATTCAGGGGTGATATTGTTAAGAAAAATTTTGATGCTTGTCACTCTAAGGGGTCAAAGGATTGGACATCAATTCTCCTCTCTGTGTCAGGTATTAAAATCAAACAATGTCCTCATGTTCATATTTTTTGTTATTTCTCATCACTTTTCTGCTTCAAAATGTATTAATATTGAATAGGAAAATTTAATTTTTGTTCAGCCTTGGGATGGAAGAATTGTGGTACTAATTGTTGATCACCATCACTCTGATGTTGAATTTTTAAGAAGTTTGATTGGTGTTATAAATTAATTACATTAAATATATTTGCTAACTCAAGATATTCCAGAACTTGTCGAAGATTGCTATCAAATATCTTTTAGTTACACTTAAATTTGTTGCTTGTTGAGGAAATGATTAATATGCCATTTAAGAGAGGGATCACTTCTTGTTTCTGTGGTATGGGTGGCAAATTAAAATTATGTCTGATTCTTTTCTTGTCGATCAGGCCAATTTAACTGAGATCTGGACAGGAAATTACCACCCCTTTTTTATTTAACTTAATATATAACCGTACACTGGCAGTCTATAGCCATCCAAATGATTACTTGTTTTTATTTAAAAAATGGTTTTTGATAACCACCTGATCATGTTCCTCTTTGCCAAAATAGATTTAATTCTGGCATTAGTAATTAGACCTACTATAAGCACTTTTTTTCATTTTCATGACAAATCCTTAAATTGGCCTTACATTTTGCTGAAAATCTCTCCGCATTGAAAAATGTGGTTCAACTAGATCAAGATTTTGAAATAAAAAGAGGAAGTGTTCACCTTTTACTAGAAAGTCACAATTTACATCACTTACAAGCCTCCAGCTAAAGTAAAAGCTACCATTTATTTTAAGTGTGCATTCTAACCAGGTATGAAAATTGTGTGCAGCAGAAATAGGCTATAACAATAAAGGGAATTACCTACAGAAATTAAGAGATACCAAAGCAGATAATTGATATACAATATTTTTGTTGCAGCCGCTTTGTATATCCAGCAGTTGTTGTCTTTATCATTGCAACAATCACTTTTCCCAAAGGACTTGGACAATTCATGGCTGGAGAGGTGGAGCTAGTGTATTTAAATTGGTAATAGGATGGAGTGGAGTCCAATTCAGACTGTAATCATACAGGTGGTTGACAAAATCAGATGACCGCAAAGTGGGAATCCAATTAGTTAATCACACTGACAATAGTATGATTAGAGACAAAATTGGATGACATGAAGTCCTGTTACCACTTAATCAAGACTATGACAAAATTTGAGAAAGAAACTAGACATTGGTAAATATATGTTTTCATAAAAAAACCAACAGTTAACTTAGCAAAATGCAAGACAACAGCCTCTGCACATGACGCATTCTGTCCACTTATACAGACATGACAATTACTGCAAGCATGATGTGTGCCCTGTCTTATTACTGTTCAAATTGTGCTTGTGATGACTAATTTAGTTCAAGAATTTTGTCGCAATTTTGATCAAGTATTAAATCAACATGTTGTTGTGAAAAGTTTTTTTTGGTCAAGACTCTTTCAAACAAAGTTGAGTTTCATATTTGTCCAGCGTTTTTTATTGTAATCAGAAACAATGTTAAATGCAGGAAAAGCAAACTGTTCAGAAATCTCATTGCTATCAACTTCAGTAATGCAAAATATGCTTTAGGTATTTGAGGTTGTGAACAGGCTAGATGTCAGGCAATAAGGCCTTCCTCGATGCTGGATATCTGTATGTACAGGTACTTTAAAGGTTTGCAAAACACTGACTTAAATTGTTGTTCTCTTGATAGCTGACTCAAAAGCAAGCAATAGATGAACTCTTCATAAACATCACATGGTCTGAAGCACGAGATTCTGATGATCAAGCCAGTCTAAATGTCTTAAAGCACTGGGATGGAGCCAACACTAATATCTATGTCACCTTGGTTATATTTATTGTCCTGAAGGTATGTGTAATTGTTAGAAAAGAGTTGTCATGTGAAGTTGTTGGGTATCAAAAAATATGTTGTTTTTATCGCAGCTCTCATGGTATTTTTTTTTTTTTAATTGTCAAAAATTCACAATACAAATTTTTGTCCCTTGGTTTTGAAATTCAAAAGAAGGCTGATTTTTTTCAGCAGCAATGTCTCATGTATTGTGAAACGTGAGAAACTAGAATACTTGGATTTGATTCTGACAGATCAATTGTTTACTGAGTAATCAAGATAAAGTTCAGAACATGAGGACAAACTTCAAAAACCACACATTTATTACCATAATGATTGCTGGTTGCACTTCAGTTTTCTGATGCGTGATGGGCTTTTCCCTTAGAGCACAATAACATTCCATATTAAGTATTTTTGGTGTTTATGGTTTCCACTGCAAACTGTCTGCCAGTACCAGATTCTGTTCCAACAGAATCACATCAAGGGAGCATTCCTTGTTTAAGTGTCCTTTAAAAAGATATGAATTTTATTCTAAATAATTTTTTTCATTTAAAGTTGTGACCATCTAAAATTGTGATTAGATTCCTCAGTGGAATAGGAGTACCTCTAAAAAATTGCCTCACTCCCACCCTAGTATGTGGCTTCATAGCTTAGTTGGTAATCGCCCCAACTAGAATCTGGGGGGCAAGAGTTGAATCCCCTCAAAGCCTGAATTTTTTCTACAACTGCTTAAATTGAAGCAGCCTGCAAGGATCATTGCTTAACTTGACTTACTGCATACAAAATTTGTATGCAGTAAGTCAAGTTAAGCAATGATGTATTTTATGTATTGATGTATTTTATGTATTGATGTATTTTATGTATTGATGTATTTTTTATTTTAATTCAGTTCATTATGACAGCTGTATCAGTTACATTGCCCTTTCCTGCTGGCGTCTTCTTTCCTGTATTTTTAATAGGTATGTCAAAATAACACTTTCCAGTAGTTCTCTTCGTTACTTATTTTATTCAATGGAATCAAAACCCCTTTCATGATTACTCTATCTTCTTGACTGATTTTCTATAGGTGCAGCATTTGGCCGGCTTGTGGGAGAAGCCATGGCGACATGGTTTCCTAATGGTGTGAACTCTGGGGATGCAGTTACACCTGTGGTTCCAGGGGGATATGCTGTTGTTGGTAAGGAGATGAACACAGTGCAAAGCCAGTTAGCTGTAGTGTATTCGAGGACTAAGGATAGTACAGTGGAATGAGCTCTTGATTCTCTTCCTTGCCACAAGGGTTTTCTCCCAGCACAAAAGCCGACTTCCAATTCAACTTTGAATTAAACAACTACTCTGCAGATTTCCTACTTTAAAGTTCTCCCTATTTATTTTTATTTTGACCTATTTACTCATAAAACATCACAGTGTCATAACTGCTTTAAAGGCTTGACTTATGATTTAAAATTGAAAATAAGATATTTCATGCTCACAGCATAGGAAAGTACAGGTTGAGGCTTGTTAAATGTCTGTTTGACTTTTCAGTTTCAGTAGTATGTACAACTACACTCAGGTAACAGATACATTCTCCTGCACACTTTCAGCAAAAGAATGAAATTAACTTGAAATTAATCTGTATGTTCTACTTATATTACACATTACAAAACACTGTTGCATTACAGTCTTGACTTACACCAAATGAAAACAACAAATGGAAAGAGTCTATTCTTTTCGGTTTTTTTTTTTTTTGCTACAAATTATTATTTTTTTCAAAGTAAGTAAAATCATATTAGAGTTTCCTTTGGTGGCTATCAACATTGTGCTGTGGTAGCCTTTTATCAGGTAACACAAATTTTTTTTGTGATGGTGAAACAGGAGCAGCAGCTATGTCAGCAGCCGTTACTCACACAATATCTACATCTGTGATTGTGTTTGAACTCACAGGACAAATCACCCATATCCTTCCTGTTATGGTATGTTGTGCTATATTTGTATTGTTCTTTGCCCAATCACTACTAAATTTTGTATATTATATGTCTGGTTGATAGTTATGATAACAATGCATTGTAATTTCCCCTACCTCTTCAGAAGTTAACCTTTTAACTCCCGAGATCCAATTGTTAATTAATTCTCTCCTTTAACTATTACGCATTTCAATGTAAATTGGTTACAAGAATTTGGTGTTCAATCAAGATAATATCTTGTACCTGATATTAGTTTGAGTAATCTCACTACCTGTTTGCTGGATAATTTATAGATACTATAGGGAGATGTTACATGTTTATCACTTCTAGGAGTTAAAGGGTTAGTTATATGTAAAACTTCGAATTTGTTAGTAGGATACTGGTTGCTACGCATATGCAGAATTATTTTTTACACCATACCACTCAGCTTTCACAAAGCAAGAGACCCAACCTACTGGTACTCCAGTGTTAACATTAGGCAATGTGATAGGCATGTCACAGTAATACATAACAAACTAGTACACTTGCTACTTGTTGGCAGAACCCCTATGACCCCTCTCAAATGCACTGAAAAGGTCACATGACAACATTGGCGTGCTGTGCTATCTCCCTTAACCAAACAGAATAAAAATGGAATAAAGGAGAACACTGGAAGTTGTAATGCTATTTTAGAGTAATCCCTCGTCCTAAAATTTTACAAGCTCATGGCATCACCTCTGACACTACCATTATGATCACAACTTCCAAAAGTTTTTGAACCCTAAATACATTCCAAGTTTGTGGATTGTCAATGGTAAAGCCTATGTATAGCTTACATTATTTTGTTATTCTGTAGATTGCTGTTTTGATTGCTAATGCTATTGCACAGTGGTTACAGCCATCGTTTTATGACAGCATTATTCAAATCAAGAGGTTGCCATACCTGCCTGACTTGACAAAAACTCAGTATGTACATTAATTTTTATTCATATAATTAGATACTTTAATGACAAATTTAGAACTAAAACACTGCTTTTCGTTAACGTGAACAATCATATTACTGAGTCTTTTTTTCTGTAGGCTTGCAAGAAAATTCAGTGTAAAGTGGCTAGAAATCTTCTTTGGAGAAATTTTTAAAATTTACAGAAATTGAAAATTGATTACTGCTCAGTGATTAATGATTGAGGTCACCAAGATTGTTTTACTCTTGTTAGAAAGAGGATATATAGTGGTATTAACACAATTTTGATTTAAGGAATTTCTACTTTTTTTGCTCCATTATTTTACCTGCCAATAACTAACCAAGGAAATTAGTTATTGTTTGTAGAAATAGTTTGTCAATTAATTGCCATGAGCAACTATTTTTGACCACTAAAAACAAGTTTTTTGAAAGTCTGTCTTTAAGTTCAATAATTGAACAATTATTGTCTTTCTTAAACAGGGTGTACAACTTACTTGTTGCTGACATAATGAAGACCAATCTTTTTTACATCTCCTTTCATTCAAAATATGCTGACCTCAAAGAATTACTGGATAAGTCACATCACCGCTCTTATCCATTAGTGGATTCAGAAGGTGATACTAAAGTATAGCAAAGTTTGCCTATGTACATGTAGGGTTTACCCACATTATCCACATTATGAATATTATGAGAACTTGCAGAAGTTTGTAGTTTCATCCTGAAGTCATTGAAAGTCTTAGAATTTGAATGTGGATCATGGAAAATCATAAAGTTTACTGTACAAATCAGGATAGTTCATTATGTAGACCAAAAAGCAAGGAATACCTGATCTACCTAATGCTCATTTTCACATACCTTACTTATAACGTGGAATGAAACATTTTCAGTTTTATGTTTTTGCAAATATCAAAAAAAGTCTTGGAGAAGGTCATGGAAATTAGGTCATAGGTATTCTGCAAGTTTGGAATAGACTGAAACCCAAGCATAGGTTACTTAAGACCTAGTGGAGCATAAAGATCTGTTGTGGTTGACTAAAAATATAGCAGAGTACCAAATCTATTAATGTCTTTCAATGCCAGCTCATTGTTCTAATAAGTGGGAATGCTATTGGGACTTCATGGGATGGTTGGGGGAAGGTGATGTTACTTGAAAATATGCATTTAAGGTTTCAGGCCTGAATAGTCCTTAATGAAAAAATAATCTATGTTTATCGGTAGGCTGGCCTTAAATGTTTACAATAGAGAGACAATAGATTGCTCTATAAGCTTCAATTGACTGGTGCTTTTGATCTGATTATTAGATTCAATGATCCTTCTTGGCTCCATTCAGCGACCTCAGCTGCAATCTCTTTTAAATCTGCACATGCAAAAACTATACCAGTCCAGCAGTAATGCAGAGAGTGAAGATGCATTATGTGCGAGGCCAGAAACACCAGATCCTCCACAGTTACAGTCTGAGTATGTCTTAAAATATTAATATCTAGCTCTGTATTTGAGTAGAGAGGTTCAGGAGTGGAGAGGGACCTTAGCTTGTTTTGTGTTTTTCATTTTGCTCTCAGCACCTTTCTCCATCCTGTAGTATAAATGATTTCCAATCAACTTCCCAGGAAATATTTGATGAAATTCTGACTATGTGCACTCCCTCTGTAGTTCAGACTCTAGACACTGTACTCTGGTATTTAGCCACCAACTCGTCTAAAGCTAGTATCCAACTTTCTTTAAACGAGAATTAAGTTAGCAATGAGGGCTCTAAGCAAACTTTTTCATGTAAATACAACCAATTTATTATTATCATGTTTCATCAAGTGAGGGAACAAAATGTGGCCACACAATGTATCCATGACTTTTCAATGCCATGTGCACTTCTATAATCAACAGATTTCATAATTATTGTCTCATTTTATGCAAGATTTTTTTAAAAAAAGTGGAAGCTGAATTATTAGTCTCCTTCACAACCATTGTTTTTTTGCTCATTACCCAATATGCTTTGCAGCAGTAGTGTGGTCCGATCATGTGAGATAGCATATGGTATAATGAGACCAGACAACAATTGTGGTGGAGTATACCAAAAAATACTAGAAATTAGAACATAATCGTGAAGTAAGAAATTGCTCATTTATTGGTGTAGCACATGATATGCATGGATATGAAGTACTAGTGGCTTTATAGTTACTTAATTTCACTCAAAATTGCAACCTATTGAACTCAGCATTTTTTCATGTTTTTATTGATTTTAGCTCTTCGTGTGTATTGAAAAGCTGATCGAGTTATAAATAGGTTTGTTTTGTTCCGCCTGATGTTGCTTATATCATTCTTATTTCTCCTCAGTGATCAGAGCCGCAATACCCAACCATCAGCAGCTCAACTGGAGGTGGCAGCTGAAATAACGTTAAAAGTATGAAATATAACTCTTTGATATTGGTTACAGGAGAAACGTTTTACGAGAGAGAGAGGTAGTGGTATTGTAGGAAATCGTTCCTTAGTATATACCTATTGGACTAATTAATTGAAGGAGATATTTACATCTCATAGCGGCAATGAGTGACAATGAAATGCAGTGTCCCAGTGGCAAAATGAGTTCTATATTTAGTAAAGAATCAATAACAATTTTTTCAAGTATCAATGCGTTCCCCTAATAGCACATTGTATAGCTTGCATATTGCACAGAAATGAAAGTGCACTGGAATGTGTAATAAGTAATTGAACTGGCAAATTCAAATACTTTACTTCACTATGGGGAAAGCATTCAAATTGAAGAATAAAAGGCTTTTCACACCTTTTTATTTAGCCGATTTGTTCTTTTTTTTTTAATCTAGAGACAGGATAGTCAACCTCAAAAATCATCAACTGGAAAGTCTTTGCTGGAGAAAATTCCAGGTAATATTGGCTATTTTACGCAAAGTTAACTTCTTGAATGGTGAACCTTTAATAAAGCAGTATGCTATCTAACCTTAAAGCTTATAGAATCAGATTTAAATTTTATTAGTATTAAGAATAATAATAATACAAAAGAAAAAGTTTTGCTTCGTGGGAAGGGTTTTGAGGATTTGATAAGCTAGCTATTAAAGATGTATCGATACAACCAACAGCTGCTTGTTTTCGCTCCGGCGAAGGGCTAACACTCGAAACGTCAGCTTTGAAACTCTTTACGGTGGCCTATTCACGTTATCAACTCAATTAACGATACCAAAATACCCTGTTATACTCTCCCACCGATGCAACATCACAGTTTCTTTAGAAACTTAACCCCTTTTATTCATTTTTTTTTCCTGTTAGTTCCTACAAGACTTCACAAACTCTTCGGTAGTGGGTCAGCTCTTAATGAAGCTGAGGTAGGAAGATAAAACCGTATGATTATGTATTTTATTCGTTTTAATACGATTCCCTTGGCAGTTTATATACTTTTGATTCTATATTTATACCAAACTCCTTGCGAACCTTTGTTAAAATGTTGAATTGAATGGTGTGGTTTAAGTGCAACAGAACGTCCAATCAGAACAAGTAAAATGTCTGAAGGAGCCATTGAGAGTTCAAAGAGTGGGAAACTATAGAGACTGAGTCGCCATTTGAATCCTATATGTGACACAAGAAATGAGTGTGACACAAGAAAGGATTTGACTGTTTGTTTGTTTGTTGGTTTTTTTTTTTTTACGTGTAGAAAACCTCAGATGCACCTGATAAAGACAGTCCAACTGTGGATCAGGTGAGTCAGTAAGGCCTTACTTTGCTAATATCCGATTTCTATTTTTCCCTTCCAGCAACCATACATTTCCTTTTGAATTTGAGTATGTTTTGGTGAGGTAACGCTCACTCGCTGCTAAGTTTTTTCTTATTTTCTTTCACTTCACTTGGAAAAGATATTGATGTTGTACAGAAAGACTAATTGCGATGGTGAATCATGGCTGAAGACTTTTGCCAAGATAAACCTGGATTTATTGTTAAATTTGAACATGAATTGTGATTATTGTGTCTTGACGGCAAATATTCAATTAAATGGGTGGTGAGTTATATTTAACTCACACCTACTAACTTTGTTTTTTTTTATTATAATTATTATTTTTTTTGTTATTATTATTATTATTATTATTATTATTATTATTATTATTATTATTGTGCAGCAACTTCAGTGGGAAAAAGAACTCTTGCAGAGACCTATTGACTACAGTAACTGTCAGATTGATCCAGCCCCTTTTCAGTTAGTTGAAAGGACGTCGCTGTTAAAGGTATTGAGAAATACCATATTTGCTCAAATAAGCGCCGTGGCGCTCATTAGATTTTTCACGCCTCAAGTACGGCGCATGTTCGAGCAGGGCGCTTATTTGAAGGTGGTGTGTATTCAGAAATTGGACGCGACAGAGAAATGTTCTCTTTTGCTTTAACGGCATATTATTTATCTATCCTTATGTGTTTTGTAACGAACATATGTTATTTTAATTGTCACTTCTCGTCTATTACGAAACTTTCAGTTGCATTACCAGTAGTTTCTTCATTCAACTTCGATCTCACTGAGCCCTCCCTGATGTTGATCTTTTAAATTTCTTAGGTTCACAAACTTTTCGCGCTACTTAACTTATCGCATGCCTATGTGACCACTTTGGGACGACTGGTGGGCGTGGTCGCTCTGAAGGAGGTGAGATAAAAGAAACGAACAGACCAAATGAAAAACCTGAAATGCGTTAAGAAGTGATCACTGTGTGAGTTAAGACGGAAATTGTGTCGTAGCTTTCCTTCAAATTTTCATACAATGTGATGTTACCCACAGGTTTGCAGGCCATAACTACTTTCCACAGCTTGATTGATGTCTGTGCATGATATATATATGTGCGCGCAAAGTTTCATTAGAATTTTTATGCACCAAATGGTTTTCATTTCAACGGTCGCTGAACTACTTCACTTGAAGTTTAAATCGCTTGCCACTAAATAAATAAACAAGTGAGAATATTAAATTTGAAAAAAAAAGAAATCCAAAAAGAAAACTGAACCTCGGGAATTGAGTTATGTAGCTCTCAAAAGTTTTACTTCGGTTCCTGGTAGCTTCCTAGAAATATAAGCTGTTTTTGATTACTTATCTGTCCTCTTAGTAACTGTTTACAAGTTAAATATATCTGTGATGGGTGATATATATTTTAACAACAGGTTCGCCAGGCAATCGAGGGTGAACGCTTCTTGGATACTTCACACGTAGACGCAGAAGGCGAGGGTCGCAGCGGCAGTTTTACGTCTGCACGTGCTCGGGATACCATGCTGAAAGGGTGTCCGGAACCCAGGGTCACTACTGGAGAGACAGATCCTACGCTGTAGAAAGTTGAAATGTTCTTACCGCTAATTCCAACTCAGCTTCCCTGAAGCTTACGCCTTTTTTTACCAACGGAATGTCCGACAAACGCTAGTTACGGCTCTGACTTCGGCTCCGATCCTACTCCGTCGCTTTAGAAATCTGGCCTTGAAGAGAAAAGTATCTAGGAGTTCAGTATTCAGTGGGCATCGTTACAATTCAAATTTGGTGGAGTTTTTTAACGGAAATCTCTTAACAATCGTTGATGGCGTTTTCAAAAAGATAATTATTAAGAAAAAACCCTTAAGGATGTAGAATTTCTTCGCATTTTATTCCATTATTTTTTGAGATGCATGAACCGTTCCGTTGGTCGTTGAAGCCCGCCAAGGTACGCATGCAGAACATGCGCCAATTTTTATTGTGTTTTTCAGACGAGTGCGAAGGGGAAGTCATGCGCGAGTTCGGAGTATCTATTCGTCTCGCGCGTTACTCGTTCTTTATGTCCGACTCGCGCGTGCCGCCTCCGCTTGAAAAGGCTCTTGGAAAATAAAGTTTGTTCTGCGGGCTTGCCGAATTGGTTAATTGGTTGTTGTAAAATACTGTTTAGACTTGTATTTGACAGCCTGTCATCCGTATGTCATATCTTTTTTTGATTCCACAAGAAGTTTTTTTTTCGTATTTATCGATTAGACATTGTTTTTTATACGTACCGACCAGAGAATATTATGATTATAGAAAATTATCATACTTCCCTAATTATACGATAGAAATGAGTAGTCTCATATCGAACGAACATGAGCGGATTATTATTAGTATTATTATCGTTATCAAAACAAGTGTAAAAGAATTATATTTTATTCTGTCAAAATTAGCCATTTAATGAGGTGTATGATTATTTGGTGAGGTCGAAAATGCTTATTTTTTAGGCATTTATCATGTTTCTTTTTTCAAGAAACTCTTCTTCAGACTTTCATATTACTTTTTGATATTTTTGTAATAAATAATTTTACAAACGTAAGGGAATTCCGTAAAAGTGAATAAAACAAACGTGTTCTGGAGCAGTGATTAAATTAGTTAATAGTACTTGGTCAAGAGAGGATTACAGTTCTGCCCAGACGATATACAATTGTTTGGGTCTCGCATATGTTTTTATTAAAACCATTTATTGGAGTATACATTATACATGTTAACATACTGATACCTGTACATAAGTGATCGAGCCAAAAGCAGTATTATACAAGAACTCTATACCCTTCATTACTGTGTAAGCGTATATTGCATATTGCAAATTTCGTATAAAATGGTGTACATTCGTGTTATTGGCTCTATTGTGGAACTTTTGTTTCCTGTATGTTTGATACACATTTCTCTCAGATTCACAGGCTTCCTTTGCCTGAAAAACGCGAAACTTTTCCTTCAGGAACGTGTCCTAATGCCCTCAAGGTACGTTCCCTTCCCTTCCCCCTGACGTTAAAACGTTTCCTCCCTCTACGTGGAAATGGGGCCTTACATGATGCAAGCTCATCCATAATATGTGGAAAGTGCGGTTTTCAGCGTTAAGAACATGGCCCGAACGTTTAAAAAAAGGTTCAGTTCACCAGGGTCCAGTTGTGTAAAGGCCGGATAACACTATCCAACGGATAAATCGCTATCCAGTGGATAAGTGTTTACAGAACGTACTGCGTTATCCACCGCATAGAGATTTATCCAGAGGTTAGCGTTATCCATGCTTCGAACAACCGGAGCCTTAAACGCAATTCAAAACGTTCTATTAATTTATTCTGCTTGGAAACTCATTCCTTTCAACAGGAATACTTATTCCCAATATTCCTTTTAACCTGAGTACTTATTTCCAGGTTCTTAATCAGGGATCAAAAGCGTTAAAAGGCTGAGATTTGTTATCACTTCACATCGGCTAGGCATCAGTATCAACAAACTCCTCGAGCAACTGGATCAGTTGGTCATTGAGTTGAAATTTTTTTCAAGTCAGTTTTTTTTAATATTCAATAGATTTTGAATCATTTTTACCAACTCATGCATTCCGCGGGAGGGGGAAGGGTTGCCGTCCATAGGGTTACTCACCGAACTGATTTCTTAAAAGCCAAAAACAGATGATATTAAAAAAAAAAAAAAGCTAACTGAGCTAACTGGAACCAAACAAGAGCAAATCTAGTAGCAATACAAATCAGTATTATGTAACTACAAAACGCAACGGAACTAGCCGATGATAGCTTGCCCGCGCTGATCTGCAATCTGGCTTTTAATGTGGCACAACGATCATGTCGAAGAATCATAGAAGGGAAGGGTGGGAGGGGAATACGCATGTGTACAGTTTATGGTCTAGTTTTCTTTATTTCCCAGCTGTCTTAGCGAGTATTTGTTTACAGGCGGCCATGTTGGATGTTTTTAAGCTTATCCTTCTTTGAAAGGTTTGTTCCGTACTATTAGGTTACTCTACCCTGCAATTTCTTATTTAACGAGGAATGAAACCGTGTTTTTTCCTCTTTTGTTTGCAGGCTGGATAGACCATTTTACGAAAAATTTACGCACCCTGCAAAGTTTGTTTTCGTGCACAGAAAGGTAAGTTTAACATCTCTTCGAAGCTAATTATTTTTGTGTAAACAAGGCCTATGTTGTTTCTCTGCGCAATTTCTCGAAAAGAGTCGCTAACTGATTTACCAGTGGGAGATTCTGAGTTGAGGTCATTCTCTAGTACTGCATCAAACATCCTTACTGCACATAATTTTTACATAACATGTGTAAACTTTTCTTGGAAATGAGCAAGGATTTCTTTTTCCCTTCATATGTAAATCAATTTTCTAGTAGTGAGTACTTGAAAATATAATTTTGACCTCTATGTTATCATAGTCATCCAACGTTTTGTTGTTGCTTTCCTAATTTTGGGAATTTTTTGAAAAGATTGCACATATCAACCATTATGAAATATTTTTATGTGATAGCTGATGTAAACAAAAAGACAACTTTGTTCTGATTACATGACAGCAGAACCAAGAGTCGGATACCACAATTACTCCACAATGCTCCTGGACTGAAACATGATCCAGTAATGATGGGTTGTATAAAATTTTTGAAAGGTTCTAATTTTTGGCATAGTGGGTTTTGGCATTATACAATCTAGTGATAAAGTTAAGAAGATGTTTTAATCTCCTTAGGGCTAGGAACCATCTGACACCTGCTGGAGATCTTTCTAAGAACCCATTTTTAAAATTTTGGAATAGGGATTGTGGGAGAGACGATTTAAGGGATTATTCAAACAGAATAAATGATGATAGACTTGAGCACTTTTGAGTGATTGAGTTTAGTGAAATGGGACTGTCTGGTTATAAATTGATCTGCTGAAATTGTATTGGTGAAAATAGAGCATATGATTTATATATCAACTAGCCACTTTTCACCTCTATATCCACTTAAGCATATGATTGATAAATATTTGACAAAAGCACAATTAAAAAAATTAGTTTAAACAAAGCAGTGGAGTTAAAATTCTCAAAATTTAAATAATTAACATACAGTTTTAATTTTAATATGTGTTGTATTATTTGTATACAGATATATCATGCAAAATGGAAATCACATGGATCAAAGTTGTGACAAGCAGCAGTGTTTGGAGCAGTCTTTCAGGTATTGCACTAACAAATGAATGATTACCAATTAATTCAAAGCTTTAGTACTTTTTTAAACTTCATCCAGTTGATTAAAGACAAGTTTGTCTATTAATTTATTGCTTACCTGTGTTTCTTGTGATTCTACTTTTGAAGTTATTTTCAGTAATTCTATAATAACTTTAGTAAGGTTCTCTGTTAGTTTCCCTAGTCAATTTCTTTTACTGCTTCATGCAACCTCTAAATTGATTTTAAGACCTTACACCTATAGTCCACACTTTCAGATTTTATTCTTCTTGTCTAAATCTCAGAGGAATCTGAAATACAAGAAAACTAGAACATAATTTTGTTGTTTTAAAGATTTCTCTGCTCAGGAGGCATTATGATTATAGTAAACCAACTCAATGACTCAGTAATGTACTGCTTAACTTGACAACTACATCTTTGAGACTAACCACTAGCTTGCCAGTACACCATGTACCAATCAACATATCAGCTATCAAACATGTGACCTAAGTTATCACAGAAGGAAAACAAACTTTTTAATTCAAACTGAAATAGGTTCAAAATTGTTCGTGCTATCCCCATAGAAGTATGCATTTTCTTTAATCTTGAACAACACTGATTCTGGATATTTCATTCATTTTTTATGATTTTTATTGTGTCACAGAATGGGAGATTATTCTTTTTTTCTGACATGTTTCACAAGATAAGTTTATTTATCAAGACATTTTAATCAACTCCTTTGTTTTTTGAGCAGAACATGATCTGCACATATTGAACTAAAAAAGCATTTCTGTGATTTGTATTTTAATTGCTTTTGGGTAAGGTTTTCAATTGAAACGTTTTATCTCAAAAAGTAAGAAAACACACAAAAATCCCAGACACCCTCTTGGGTTCATTATATTTCTGACATTATCTCCAAATCTCACAGTAATTGACTGAATATAAACATCAAACATCAGAACTCAAGCCAAAAGTGACTTGAAATTTTTCGGGGCATCGGTTTTTGTTTACATAAATGCGTTTCTACTTCACACTTGTCAAGGCTGTTTTCAAATCATATTGAAGCAAGTCACTTGACACTATTTTGGCTGTCAGTGATCCAAGCACGGATAGGAAGAATGGAAACAATTTGTAAGGAGTTAGCATGTTGCATGAGAAGGTTAAGTGTGAATACACTTGTAAATTTGTAGCTATTTGTGTTGATGTGGAGGGTGATTCAACCAGCAAGGGACAGCATGAAAAAAGAGGAGAGAAAAGGTCAAACAGAAGAAGGAGAGCTAAAAGGCAAACACAACAAAGCAGCTCAACAATTGATGCTTAAGCGCAATGCTAAGCAAGGGTCTTGTCTGTGAGATTTTTTTCCAGACTGGCACCTTCAGCAACTTCAATAGAAAAAGACTGTGGCCACTGCATCCCTTAAGTGTAGTAGGAACCCTATCAAAACATTTCTGCTCTGATGCAAACTGCGAAGAAATTTTCCTCTTTTCAGAGAGAGAGAATTAAAATTTTCAGAAATTGATAGATCTTAAATTTATCTACTAGATATGAAATTTTCAGGAAATTGAAAAAATTACTTTTTATCCTTCTTTGATACTTTAAGTTGACTGACTGACTGATTGCCTGCCTCACTGTCTACCTTACTAACCTATTTATGTACTTACTAACTTACCTATGTAATCAGTCAAGAGGCTAATTAACCAATAGACCTTATGAATGACTTATTGTTACTAATAAATTAACTGACAGATGCACTAACTGGTCAAGCCACCGACTTGGTGAGTGAGTGGGTGAGTAACTGATTGACTGGCTGACTGACTGACCACTTGCTTGACTGACTGACCTATTGATTGACTGCCATCTTGACTGACTGACTGACCAATCAACTAACTTATAGACTGACTGAATGGCTGACTTGCCAATTTAGTGACTGACTAACTGGGTGGCAGCCTGACTGCATGATCAAATGACAGAGTAATCAACAATAAGAGGAAACAAATGGACTGATGATGTGAGCAACCGGAGGACTGAATGTCACACTGGCTATTGTACTAATGTGTGGACTAAGTGGCTAACTAAATGAAAGAATTACATATGATGGGCTGCACTGACTTGGTGACTGACTGGTGATATGACTGTTGATCTGACATGCTGGCTGCATGGATATCTAATCAGCAAGCTGAATTAATTACTGACTGTGCAACTGACCAACTGACAGACAGACTCAAATGGACTTGACCTTGTTTGTGGTTGTTTTAGGTCCAAACTGTCTGATTTCACCTGTCCCATGTTGAACACTTGTAATCAGACAGTCAAGCAGCCAAGAGGTAAAGGCCATCAGTACAACTGAACAACTTAGCCAATACTAACCAATCAAAATGCAGAAAAATTCTCAAGGGATCAGGTTAAAAGGTCAACATTGAAAACAAATATGAACAAAATTAAGTGGTCCAATGACTACCTTTTATAGGTTGATCCAAGTCTTAGAATTAAGTTAGAGGCAAACTTAAAGTTTAAGTCAATGAAAGTGAGGGGTTGATTAATACCCCAAGTTGTGGCATTTATGAAATTGGTGGAATTTTATCCTTCTGCATCAATGGTATGTCTAACCAAAATTATGGAATGCAGGCTATCTGTTGAAAAGTGCTAACTCAAATATGTTCCTCGACTTTTAAGCTGTTGTATTTAGGT